GTGGATCACTTATTGATTTCATAATTTTTAATTCATAGTATTTTTCATTGGGTTGGATAAAATATTTGGGCCTATAGTTGTTGCAATTTTTTTACTGTTGTTTTTTCAACTAAATACTAGATTTATCTAGGTCCCTACATTAGATAGATTTTGTTCGTTAACATTACATTTTGACCACAATGGGTCATAAAGAAAAATACCCCGCCGTAGCAAACCTGCAGACTACACGAATTTCCATTTGCCTAATTTGATTTTCAATTAAATCTATTTCAATACCGTAGGCCCAACATTAGGTAGGTATAACGATTACCCAGATTTGCTGCTACAGGGAGGGTAATAAAGTGTGTTTTTTAGTAAAACATTAATAGCTTAATATAAAAGAAATAAATTTGCCAAGTTTGATAAAAATATATACCTACCTACATAAACAAGCAAACTACACTTACTTATTCTCCATAAAAATAATATGGGAATTTTAAATTTACAATTCTTTGCATTTTATTATTTTATTCAAAACCATAACCATACAAAAACACTTCAATACCGCTAGGCCTATACTAAATTATTTTTATTTTAAGCTCTTCAAAATGGTCTATAGAGAAATTGGGAAATTTTATGTTTTGAGGGTAAAAAAACTAAAAACCTATTTTTACCCCATAAAACCACGTTTCCATGGTCCGTTCATGCTGGTTCTTGAACTCGTTCGAATAAACGTATATGCGTTTGTTCCGAATTTTAATCAAAATCGGATCATTGTTGTTTGAGTTATCGTGATAACGGACACACATGTATATATATAGGTATATATATATATACATACTAGCTGTAACCCGCGGGCTTTGCCCCGTTTAACTTCTTAATTTTCAAGATTATCTCGTTCGCATGGCTCAATCACGTCCTGGTTGAAGTTTGTTCGCTACGCTCACTCACCTTTAGGTTGGAGCTCGTTCGCTGCGCTCACTTGCCTTCAGGTTAGCTCGTTCGCTACGCTAACTCGCCTCCAGGTTGAAGTTCGTTCGCTACGCTCACTCACCTTTTGGTTGCAAATTAGCTGTTGTCATAAATGTAAAAGAAATAATAGTGCTGCACCCTGTTGGTAATCCTTGTAACTTTAATGCTATTGAACATCATAGAACAGAACCAACTTGTTTAATTGAAACAGCTGTTAAGATTCAATAATTCCATTTCTCATAAGGTTAACATGGGAAACTCCAGAGCCACTGGGGCGGAGCCCGAAAGGATTTTTGAAATAAGAATATGCCTATATGTTAATCGGGAATGTGAGCTATCATCATGCCAAATTTCAGCCCAATCCGACCAGTATTTTTCGCGTTCACTTGTCACAAACATACATCCATACATCCATTCATACATACATCCATACATCCAAACTTTCTCATTTATAATATTAGTAGGATATATTTATACATAGCCTATAAATATATAATAGGTATATATATATCTATATGAATTTGAAAGGATGGTGTTTTTGGCCTTTGGGGACATCAAAACAGAAAGGAAATCGGTCCCGGGTCCAGGTCTTACCATGAGACCTACAGTACCGTAATAGCTTATTTCCTATATGGGAAATTCGCTAAAAAGACAAATCATCACACCAACATGCAAACACAATTGCAAAACTGAAAGAGCTATTTTTAGAAATGTTGCTCAATTGGCTACAAAATAATGTCTTAATGCCTAGATCTAACTTAACACAACATGTTAAGTACTAGTACCTACTTTTAAATCCAAATCTAATGACATAGGCTATATGAATTGTAAAAATCTGTTGATGAACAAGTTTTGCTAATTTTTAATAAAAATATTAAAAATCCGTTCTTTGAATAATTACTATCTAGGCCTACCTTATATTTTCACTGAATAATTTTTTAAAGTTTAAGGTGTTCTTTCAATTATTTTTTCCTCGAAAAAATTTTGTAAATGGTGTAGGTTGGTAGTTTTGTCAAAGCTGCAGGAAGTATTTAACCGTGAAAAATATAGTCAGTACAAATGTTCATTGTTGTACCTCCATGTAAGAAGTAGGTAATTTTACTTCACATTTTGACTGAGAGCTGACTTCTCCCCTGTGCAATGCTATTTTATCAGTGTCAAGATATGTCCTCAAAAGATATTTCCTTAGCACAGAATATTTTAATTTTAGTAAAATACGTCTCCTGTAAAAGTTAGTGTTTTATAACTTTCTGTTATATGAACACCAAATGCAAAATGTTTTAAAGTTGATTTTAGTAAAAAAATCTTTTAATTATAAATAAGCTGTATTTTCGAATCTGCCAATGATTTTTTATCCACATAGCGAATAACAATTTTATTGTCTTTGTACTTAATTCATGTCAAACGGTCATTTAAAAAGTCTGAATACAATATTGAATTTTATAAAGGCATTTTGCGTGGAGGGAAGCACAGGGAGCCAACAGGGGGTAGTTGAAAGCCTGATTGTGTACATAGCCTAGATTGACTGATGTCGTGTCAGGTTTACAACCGAGCACATAGACCTGCAAACATCGGATCAATAGAGCTGCCTTGATTTATTACACATTTCATAAACCGTTGAACCTTATCGTAACCATACATGCATTGTGATCATGCAATAAATACCTACACTAAATACACTTGCTAGATTACCAATGATTATCAGTAATGATGACTAAGAATAATGATGACGACTGGATGATTAATGAAGTGACTAAGTAATTTGAATGGACATATACATTCAGATTTTTTGTAACCTCAAATTTAGATTGTTCTTATTTTTTTTGTACAATTGTGATTAAAAACGTGAATTGCATTTTTACAAATACAATTTGTATCCCGATCTTTGTAAGCTTCATAATGGATTTAAGTAATGCACAAAACTAACTGTTAATTAGTTATTACTAGGCAAGGGGTTTAACATTAATCTATATTTATAAATATTATATAAAACAATAAGGGAAAGTTAAAAATTAACCAAGATATATTCTGTAGACTACATAAATTTAAATTATGTTCTACACAAGTTCATGTTATTTATTTATCCTGTAAAATATTGTTTCTAAGTAAATAAATTAAAATATCTTTGATCTAAAGAACTTACAGTAATATTTTCTTATAAAGTCCACTATGTGTGGACTATAGGCTCTAATCATTCTATAAAACCTAATTATAAGATGAGTTACTTTACAAATAAAATTAACACTACTTATTAGGTAGGTAGGCCTAATAATTTTCTCTATATCAGTTAGGCTATATTTTAAAGCCAGTGAAAACTTAACTACCAGGAAGTGGAGTAATTTCATCAATGAATTAAAATTTTTGGTTTTACAAAACCAACTAAGGATAATGTATGTTACTTTACAAACAAAATTATTTTCCTTGTGTAACACCAACACACTGCATAAAAACATGTGTGAGTTTATCATTCACTTGTGATAGCAGTGGTGATGACTTCATGGCCGAGTTTAAACTAGCTTTAACAATATAACAGCTGGATATCAAACGCCTACATAATTGCTACTGTAGTTCAGAAATAACTATGATACTGCTGCACCTTGGATTGAATGCATTCTGCAATCTGGCCTTGCATGCCTAGTTTTTTGTGACTGGTTAATTGTTAAATACTACCTCTAATGTACAATTGTAGTTGGTAGTAGTAGTATTTCATTTATTCAACAAGGGAAAGTGCTGTTATTTAATGTTTTGACAGTTGAATTTCAGGGTGGTTTAGAGTTTTGAACTCCAATTTTGTTTCTTTGTCGACTTTCTTTTTTGCTGAATATCAAATTGATTATTTTTTATTTAAATGTGTACCTATTAAAGGGTTTTAATATTAGTCAAAACAATTAAAATTCACAATGTTTTTGGGATATATTTTTCCAAAACGTAATTGCTCTTTTTACTATCTGACATTGATGTTATATTACATCATTGATTGATACTGTATGTTATAATTTAAGTTAATGGTATTGGTAATAAAAAATCCCTTAACTGATGTGGTACTTATGATTGATTTTTGTAATATTGTTTTATTCATGTGTTTTAGTGAGGTTGTTCTATACTAAAAACTATTCCAAACTAAACAACTAAATCACGAAAAGACATCAGGCCTATTAAATAAATTATAGGCCTCATGTCAATTTTTTATCATAATTTTTGGTACTGTATACATATTTTTTGCTCGTCAATAAATTTGCTTCTTAATTAAGTACTGTTTACAGTATCTTAAAAACATTACCGAATTGCAGTATGATAAAAAATCATTCACCGGTTAACTTAAGACTTAGCACAAAATTACCGTTTAAATCTTAAGTAGGCTTAAGTTCTAAGTACTGTTTGATGGTTAAAAACTGGATACAACTGTCCTTAATTCTTATATTGGTGATATTTGATGAAACATGAAGGGCGATAGCTTCTACCAGCATGGCAAAGCTTTACCTAATTATATTTATTTTATCTCAGCTGATGTAAACTGACATAAATTTCTGTTTTTAATAAAAGCGTAAGCACTCCTGCTGGCCAGAACAGTCTTTAAGACTTTAGAAAGTAAAGATCAACATAGATACTGTAACTCATGGCAGAAATCTTCATACAAAACGATAAAGCATTCACCAGACTTAAAATTTAATTTAAAATCAGCCATTTTGTGAACAGGATGATGCAAATAAAAGATTTTGAAGAACCAGCAAAATATTAACCATTAACAATGCTATCATGTAGTTCAAAGAACACATTTGTCTTTTGTATGCAACTTGGAGCAATGTCTAGGTGTAGTGTATGTATCTATGTAAGTATGGGAATAAGATGGGTCTCTAAACCCATCAGATCATCATTCAGATCAGAGATTGTGGCATTCAGGAAGGATCTAAAACCGGGCCTCCACAGTTCATCAATTCTGTGCTCTTAACCTCATGAAATTTACTAACTGAAACTCTTTTGGTTTTTATGGCAGTTGTTTGTACACATTGTTTGTCATTTAAACACATCAAAGTTTATTTTTCTCACAGGGGTTCCAGCTGACGCATTCTCTAGGGGGTGGTACCGGCTCCGGAATGGGAACCCTTCTGATTTCCAAAATCCGAGAAGAATATCCTGACAGGATTATGAACACTTACTCTGTTGTTCCGTCACCCAAGGTAAGTTAATTTGCTAGTTTTTAATTTTGTAAATTTTATCAAAGAAAAGCTATTAAATTATTTCTAAAATGATAGATTATAGGGTAATATGGCCTAAGTTTTCATCATATTTGGAATAGGGGGCTCACCTGAATGGGTAAGAAAGAGTCCACTTTGGACTATACATCTAGACTTAAGTGAAACTTCGTTTTTAGTACCAACGTGCTCCAATTCGGAATCTCTCTAAAACATGTTGGTTTAACATTTTACTCTTGTGTGTGGGCCGCATTTATACAGGGTGATAAGATTAAAAAAATTATGGTTGTAGTGAATAACATGATTATTTAAAGTGGGGGTTTTATCCTTATGTAAACATAAAAACAATGGTTTCTCATTCAAACTTGACTAAATTCATCTCTTACCAAACAATAATTTACGCACACTATCTTTCTCTCTTACAAGAAATATTTCGTAGTTGCATGAATATGTTTGTGAAAGGTTTCAGACACTGTTGTGGAGCCGTACAATGCTACTCTCTCCGTTCACCAGCTTGTTGAGAACACTGACGAGACTTACTGTATTGACAACGAGGCGTTGTATGACATCTGCTTCCGCACCCTCAAACTGTCCACGCCTACCTACGGTGACCTGAACCATCTCGTCTCTCTGACCATGAGTGGGGTCACTACTTGTCTCAGGTAAACAGTTGATTCCTTAGGATAGTTGATAAGCTGTTCAGGGGCCTCTTAAATTGTGTAGGATTTTGCTAGTGTCCTTCCTAGTGTCATTTATATGAAAGAATCGCAAGGCCTTTTAAAAACAATCCAAACCACTCATAACTTTGGAGATATGCAGGAGCTTGAACCCATCACTCTCACTTCCAAGTGTAAGATGCTAAATATCAGTATAAGTCCTGCTAATCCAAACTAACTTTAACCAGATCACCAAATTGTTTGGGTAAGCTGGAAACTCAATAAAATTTCATAAAATAATTCAAATGGAGTTTTATTACACTGTAGCCTAAATTTGCGATCACAGCTACACCGTTATTGTAGAAATAACTGAGAATATCTACCGTGATCGCAGCAACAGCCGTGATCATCTCCCACGATTGCGTTCTTACTAGACCATGATCTTTAGTGAACCAACAAAATGCCCTTAATGAATTGAAGCTATGCCAAAAGCTGTTAAATTTGTATGACTTATACGAGGTACAATTATTTTAAAGATTTTTTTGTCTACATGAACCATATTGGTTTCCTGATTTTCAGGTCTGCTGGACCCCTGGTTAGTTTACCAAAATACAGAGCTGTTTTAAATTTAAATACAGAAGAATAACTTTTTCTCCAACAAGTGGTTTGGATTTGCTGGACGTTCGGATTAGTGGGGTCTGGGTCAGCAGAACCGTGGTCTAGCCAATACATATATTATATTTGCTATTAGCAGCTAGGTTTGAAATGTATAGCTGTGGAAAGCTGTATTTAAAAATATTATGGGTTATGAATATAAATGAAAAATATTTTCAAATTAGAGCTAAAATATATCAACTCAACTAGTCCTAAGCAAATATTTCCTCCACAGATTCCCTGGTCAGTTGAATGCAGACCTTCGTAAGCTGGCGGTCAACATGGTACCGTTCCCCCGACTCCACTTCTTCATGCCAGGCTTTGCACCTCTGACGGCCCGTGGCAGTGTGCAGTACAGATCACTCACAGTTCCAGAGCTCACTCAGCAGATGTTCGATGCCAAAAACATGATGGCCGCTTGCGACCCTCGTCATGGCAGATACCTCACCGTGGCTGCCATCTTCCGAGGCCGCATGTCCATGAAAGAGGTGATGGATTCTTTCTTAGAATTTTCTAGAGTAAATTGGTGCGATGAGATGTGATGCGAGATGATTAATTTGAATAAAATACACACGGTAGCAAATTTGTATTGTTAGGTGTTAGTGAGTTTATTTTGCTTAAAAAATTACTTCAGATATTTTGCATCGGTAAAAGAAAAGTTTATCTCTTTTCAAATGTTAGTATCTGATCCTGTCTTCAGGTGAGGAAACACACACAAATTGGGCAGTGCTGAAAAATAGCTCAAATTGTACTGAAGACGGGAACGGATTCCAGACACCAGAACTTGTGTTTCAATAATCCGTTATTGAAAATATTCGCAATAAACCCTTATGAAATATTATTGTTTTACTCGACAATGACTGTCAATTAGTTAATATATTCTTAAACATAAATACCTTTAATGTAACTTCATTTAACATTTTAAGTTGTGTATGTGCTTGGAACAGTGTTCAAGGCATAAAAACATATTGCGGCTAAATAAATGCAAAACAATAAAAAAAAATTAATATGAAAATACAAGTATTTTCTAGAGTACATGCTATGTAATCTCTCAATCTCAATAAAAAAATGATGGTACCATAAAATCATATATTGTAAGTTTAGTACAGCTTAGACATACTTGTGGCGTAATAGGTCTTGTACAGAAACATATTTGATACTGATATTTAACATAGCAAGTTTAACCATTGACTATACATAGAATGTATATGTTCTGTGTATATTCTGTGTACCAAACAGTCAGTGGTTTAACTAAAAATACCATTTAGGCTACATTTTAACATTCTGTTTTTTTTAGGTGGACGAACAAATGTTAAACATCCAAAACAAGAACTCCAGCTACTTTGTGGAATGGATTCCCAACAATGTGAAAACAGCTGTGTGCGACATTCCACCCAGAGGCTTGAAGATGTCGGCCACGTTTATTGGAAACTCAACGGCCATTCAGGAGCTGTTTAAGAGGATTTCAGAACAGTTCACGGCTATGTTCAGACGCAAAGCTTTCCTCCATTGGTACACGGGAGAAGGTATGGATGAAATGGAGTTTACCGAGGCAGAATCCAACATGAACGACCTGGTGTCCGAGTATCAACAGTATCAGGAAGCGACAGCAGATGAAGAAGAATTTGACGAAGAAGAGGGTGAAGTTGAGGTCGATGGAAACTAGTTTTATACTCACACTAGTTTTATTTACTAGTGTAAATAAAACTAGTTTTATACTCGCCATTTAGTAATCATTCCGCTTAAATAATTTTGTGTACATGTATTGTATATTTTGTTACGTTAATTACGCTAAAGAAATCTAAAACTTTTTAGAAATGGAAGGCATATTTATTTTTACCTTTTTGTTGAACCCTTAATTTTAGTTGCATGTAGATTTAAAAAATCATCCTCTTGAAAAATCAGAATTTTTTATGCATCCTACTAACATTATAAATGTGAAATTGAAATTTTGGATGTTTGTGTGTAAATTTAAAGTTCCATCACGTGAAAACTGCTGGACTGACCGAGCTGACATTTTGCTAATAGGTACTTGATAGTCTTGAGAAACACATAGGGCATATTAAAGTTGTGAAAATCCTATAGGACTGATAAAATAAGCAACAACAAAAAGCTGTGATACACAATGAGAACTGTCAAAGTAGGATTGTTTACAGTTATGTTTATGTTTTAATAAAATAATTTGTGATATACAAATGTTTTATAATTTACTTTTTTTATTGTTTAGGTACAGTGATAGAACATTATGACTATGGTAGATATGTTACTATAGCATAACGTAAATTTAAAGAACCAAATTTTCTTAAACCGTGTCCTCCGCCAATCAAACCATTGCAAACGCAGAGCACGAGTATAACTGCAATAATCATTTTATACTTATATGCCAACCCCGTAGGAAGGACACACTCTCTAGTGTTTCTTACATTTTAGTGCGCTGATGTTGACCTACTTTTATTCTCTTAGTTGGAAAATTTTAAATTATATTTGGTAACTATTCCAAGGGTTAGCTCACAAATAAATAGTTTTATTTAACTAGAAGAGTTGAAAAGTTGGAAAATAACAAGCATTAAACAGTAAACACCACATTGTTTACTCTATGCAAGGTCTCAAGATTTACCAATTAATGAAATGAAACATAATTTTAATATAACCTTGTTTACAATATTGTACATTACTTACACATAATATATAAACATAAAATAAACAAATAAAAATATACATCCATATAAATACAAAGATCACAAATTCAGTCTACAAGTTCCAGCTGACCCCATGAATGACCTTTCTTGACCTTCACAGGAAGAGGGACAGATAAAGTCACAGCTCCTTCCATTCCCTTGCGTAGAACTCTTACGAAATCGTTTACATCTGGTTGAGCAACCTGCAAATAAAATAAATTGATCAAACATGGTTAAAATTGAACTATTATTGTATATTTACAAATAAAAAAGTCTACAATTTAAAATAACAACATTCAATATTTAGGTCCTAATGAATTTTAATTTTATGAGGTCTTTTGCCAGCTATGCTGGCATCATCAGACACATCGCAAAACTCAGTTTTGTGATGTGTCTGAAATTAATTAAAATTTTGGTGATGTTTTTATTTTAAATTGTATTAGTTCCAATATTACCAGTTCTTTTTGAAGGAAAATGTCTGTCTAATTTAGTTATTATCTATACGCCAAGTGAAAGATTTCAGGTATTGGAATACACTAGAAATGCAATTAAACAAATTTGTATTCTTTGTCGAGGTAAGCCTGAACAAAATTATCCACACCATGATTTAGTGGATACAGTACACAGGATGAGAAATAAAATAACAAAATGTATTAAGGTACAATGTGCAAAGGATTCACACATTCCTTTCAACTTCCAACCGTCAACAATATTTATTTTGTGTGATCCTCCCACCAAGCATTGTCCCATATAAGATATAGGTCATGCATGAGTTGCACACCAGATATGACTTTATGTTAAATAAAAATTTATTCTGGAATAGAATTCACGGCAAAGCTTCACAATGCTAAGTTAAAGATCATCGTGTTTGATTTCATTTTAGATAAAGGGGGAAACATAGCCTCCTGAGGAGGCTATGGGGAAAGGGGACGTGGAGTTAAGGCGATCGACCAAATTTTGAATTTAGAATAGCTTCAGCTGAGTTCTCTCCGTTTGTACTTAGGTTTGCTGTGGAGGGGCATCAGCCAATCAACGTTGCGGATATGCCTTATGACGTCAGTTGGTTCACCGTAAGGTGCTGCTTCCTAACGATCACTTGGGGCATTAGGCATTAGACAAACTGTAGTTATGCAGTTACTTGGCTCAGCAAGTAATTTGCTGAGAACATTGGCCCTGAGTCTTGGTCGCCGGAATATTCCATGGTGGAGACAACTGTACTGATGCACAGAAGTTGGGAGGTTAAAACAGTTCAATACTACAGACCCTCCTTTTATATTTGGAATAAAGCAAAGCTTTTGTGACGGTATTGACAGGGTTTCATGAGGGTTTAGAAAAAAAACCTCTCTAGCTGATTTGTAATTGGTCTGGAAATTTTTGGGGCCGTCACAAAAGACATGATTTTAACCCTCAATCCACTGTCTATTGGCCGGGAAGACAACACCTTAGTTTGGTTGGTCATACCGTCATACCTTATGGCACCGCACTCAGTGTATCCACAGGACCAACACAAAAATCCTGCTTATCGGGTCGCGAAAATTCCGTTTTATCCTCCTGATTTAAAACATTTTAAAATCCCGTTTTATCCCGCATACATTTCCCTGTTTGATTTCAATTGAACTTATAGGTGTATCGTGTTTAACCCTTTGAGGTCAAATTTTTTTTTCATTTTTCGGTGAGTATAGGTTGCCATTTGAGCAGTCGGGAAAATGGCGCCTGGCGACCTGTACTCGCCATTCAACCGCAAAGACAAATATTTTTTAATTTTTTTTTTGTGAGTAGGTCACTATTTTTGAGAAGTAGGGAAAATGGCAGGCGGCAACCTATACTTGCCATTCGACCGCAAAGGGTTAAATAGTTCTTTTAACCTTGCTATAAAACTATGCTGGAATAAATTCATCAATTGGGGTTAGTTTTTATATGAAAGCAGTATAAAAACAAGCGTTACAGCAAAAATTCCTGTGATATCCGGCAAAAGATGTGTTATCCCGGGATAATTGTTTTAGGGACAAATATCGCACACACGTAAATACTAACTGCACCAACAGAACCGGACAGCAAAAGCCCAGTTGTAGTCAGGGTTGCCACCTTTAGTTAGGGAAAATTCAGGACAAATCCCACTCCCCCAGAATAAAAACAGGCAACAGGGTCCAAAGTCGGGACTGTCCCAACGGAATCGGGATGGGTGGCAACCCTGTGTGTAGTAGTCCTAGCGTTGGGACATCGAACCAGTAACATCAATATAGTATTAGTATCGATAGTCATATCGGCCTTTAAACATCGATGTCAAGAAAATATCGAAGTCAAAATCCAAAAAAAACATTGATATTTAGTAAAACAAAATGATAGTAAAAAATAAATATCAGAGTAAATATATTAATTTATACGCTACTAACAAAAATATTGGAGTGAAATATCGATAGTGTATAATAAAAATTTATGGGAAGACAACTATCAATGCCAAAAACATCGACTTCAAAACATCAATATTTTCGATATATCGACTATCGATATCCAACACTAGTCCTGGCTTGACTTCCAGACTGTCATCAATCCCAGCAAATGTCAGACATGGTTTTAGTTTGTGTTTGAGTTATACTCGCATAGATAATTGTCAGTCGTGTTACTCTTTCTCTAAACATATTGACTGTTGGAGCTTAGATGATAAATCCACTTGATTTCCTTGAAAATTTCTCTTTTAACTACATTATTCGACTGACCTCGTAGATGAGTTCGTCGTGCAGATGTATGATGAGCCGAGCCACCAAGCCGCAGTCTCGAGCTGCTTGTCTCACTCGCAACATCGCTGTCTTGGCAATGTCTGCAGCTGATCCTTGAATAGTAGTGTTTACTGCCTGTCGCTCTGCTTGAGCTGTGACATGGTTGTTATTTTTACAATATTACAATATTACAATATTACAGGCTAGCTTACATTAGTTATTAGTTAAGTATTTTATTATTTGGTAGGCTATCTTAAATTAGTTGAGTATATTATATTAGTTAAGTAGAATTACTTGATAATCAATTCAGAATACAATCTTAGATTTGGATTTAGAAAGGATCGTAAAACAAAATCTGGAAGGATACAAAAACAAAACTAGCTTTAGTAAATTCAAACAGGGTTTCCAAACTAAAAAATCAAATAATATTAAGGAGTTGTTAAGGACAACTATAGTTTAATAGAATTGCTAAGGTCCTTAGCAAGCATCCTTCACTAACAAAGAGATAAAAAAAATTTTCCTTGAAAAAAATATTACAGTTAAAATATATTTTTCTATTTAATTATTTAGTCTTCTCAGCGTGTATAATAACAATATACTCTACATGTAAAATATATTCTTCCTAAGCTTACTTTTAACTAGAGGTGTTCTAGCAACTCGGTTTTTGATCAGAGCCAAGCCTCACCTAGAAGAGATCGAGCTATAGTAAAAAAATCAAGCTTTAGCAGAGCTTTTATGATCGTGATCACTAAATGTGGCAGCAAAGTATGTGCCATTAAAAAATTCTCGCTATTGCGGATGCGTCTCAAACCATTCTCTAATCAAGGGGGACAATGGTGTTGTCCCTACGACATCAGTAGATGTCAAGGATGTTGCCGAGATTGAATAAGACTTTAATGATGTTTCCATAACTGCAGGAGACGACGATAATATCTACAAATAATAATATCTACCGCTGGAGATGCTCAGTATTTTTCTGCAATAGTGGATGACTATGATATCATTTCTGCGATTGCAGAGGATGATGATGATGATGACCACCACTTTGCCACCGATGATAATATTTTTGTGATCAATGGAGATATTCAGGATTTTCCGCTATTGCGAGAGGCGATGATGACGTTTCTGTTGCCGCAAGAGATATTTGACATATTATAATTATAAAATATTTAACTCAACATAATAACATTATGTTGCATTTTAAAAACAAGGATTTTTACAGATTTTCTTATATAGTTACGTAAGTGTTTGATAAAAAAAAAGCTCAGCCCTATCACTAATGTCAGGCTTGCACACCAGCTACTTTTATTTAACCAATTAACATTACAGCTTCTACTACATTAGTCAAACCTTGGATAAGATAACCATGACAAATCAAATTTCTGACATGTAAATATATCCCCGAAGACGCAACTGAGGTTGGTTTTATCCACAACAATATAAGGGCGTGATGATATCCACAGCTTTGTTAATGATGAACAGCTGATTTTAGTTGTTAGTACAGTACCTCTAAGAGCCTTATTGGCACTGTTGATGTCTGGAAGGTAGCGACGTCGCCCCAGTAGTGTAGTGACATGACAAGACGCTGTGGCTCTACAAGCCGCTACACACTGACTCACATACGTCTGCAGTCCAGGGTACGACTGATGGAAACTGTTCACCATCTCCTCCGCCTTCCCCTCCTCCACCCCCATCTCCTCAGCCAGCGTGGTCATCCCCATACCGTAGATCATGCCGTAACACAGCTGTTTCGTACGGTGTCTTAGTTCTGCTCCCACCTAAAAGATTTGTTGGTTCTAGATTGAATTTTGATCGTCTTTCTCAAAGACAGTGGTATTTGTGGGATTTTCGTTTTTAAAGAGAAGACAGAAATTGAAGTTTGAGACAATGGTAAATCTTACTCATTGGTTGGATAGAAGGTAGAATATTTAACTTTCACTCGATCCATTAATTTTTTTGTGAAAAAAACTGCTACTTTTTCACAATATGATGCATGACTAGTACACTATTATTTCTATAATTGAAGATTTTAAAGTTTTTGCTAATTAATAAGTCTACATCACTTGCATGGAACTGGTCTGATTTTCAACTCTCTAACTAATACGAGGGCTATTCAGAAAGTAAGGAACGTTTTGTTCTGACGCCACCAGGGGCACGAAGATCTCGTACATTTTGATGCAAGCACACTCGGGAACTCAGTCGGCGTCCAGCCGTGACAACAGGAACACCCTCACACTGCCCGTTTTTTTGCAATTTTAACCTAAGATGTCCGCTGCGTTTGATAATCCTGCCAGTTGTGAGGTGCGGTCAGTGATAGGTTTTTTTGGCAACTGAAGTTTACAGAAACAACAACGTAATGAAATCAAGTTCTGTGCGAAAATGGTGCATTCAGTTTAAATATGGCTGAACTGACGTCTATGAGTTATGACAAAACGAAGGGCGGACGCCCGAGCATTGTGACAGATTAATTGGGTTGCATAAGTTGATGAAAGGGTTCCCAAAAACCGGTCATTCACGATAACCAGGGTGTCTACTACATTCTGGATAAAAAATTCATGGACAATTCCCGTACATTTAAGGACCTTTGTCGGTGTGATTACAGAATAATATTCCTGATTTGTTAAACTGTATTAATCTTGTTCTTCGTAGTTGTTCCAGAGAGAAAAGTAGGCCTAAATAATAATAGACAAGAATTAAATTTCAAAATAGAAACTTATTGAAAGTAAACAAACATATACTTTAGGTACAGCTTTTATAGTGTAACAGAAAATGCAATCATTGTCTCCTGCAATAGCGACAAAATCCTAAATATCTCCATCGGTCACGGAAACATCATAACATCTAGCTTATCCGATCCAGGCGGATTAATTTGGCATTATTCGCCCTGGCACAACGTTAGGTTCTCGACTACTTTTGAAAAAAAAATCTTTAATGCATAATGAATATATTGTAACTCGGTTCTAGGTACAAAATCGGTATGGTAAGCGGCTACCAGTAAGCACAGAGTAAGATTATTGTCTTTTCATCTGCAAAGTTAATATCGACACATAGCAATCATTACTTTATCTTAGGCTCAATTACATTTTCTTAGTATATTTTACAGCACTTTCAAAGAATCAAAATACCCAGGCCTAGACCTAACTATTTAGGAGGGCCTATATAAACTGAGTAACAAACAATGAGGTTATAATATCAGCAAAGTCACTACAATATCATCATTCTAGTTCATAAGATTTAGATTGCTTAAAGCATACAACTCAATAAATAAATATGGGAAATAAAAAAAAATGAAACCTGACTGCCAACAATGTACAAAGATACAGAAAATGCTATGACATCATTTGAAACCAAGTAGGCCTACGTAGTGATAAAAATTTAATGCAAATAACTAGGCTTTTGGTTTTGTCAATTGAAAGATAAAATATCCATAAAAAATGGTTTAACTTAGTTATGTTTAAGATTAGTTACATGTTTGATATGAAACCATAAACAGTTTTATGGCACTAGGCAATGGCCAGCGGCAAATTGAAGTACAAGTAAGAAGTGAAATTTAACAGCCATTATAAAACTATTATTTCCATGATAAAATATGTTTGGGATCTAATAATGATTACCCTAGTAATAAATAAATGTTGTAAGGGAATAAAAGTGATACAGCTTTTATGAGCTAAACTACTACTGAGTCAACAGTTCTTGGAAGTACTTGATTTGACACTTGATTGTCGTGATAAAATATTAATGGGTTTGAGAATGCTAGTGGGGTTTTTATTGCATATTTGGTTTTTATTTGGGTTTTTATTACTCTAGTAATAAATTGTGAAAATGTAAACAAACATCTGATAAACCTTTTATGTGCTCCTAACCAACTAGCGATTGATAAAATTATGGCCCATTAAAAATTTAAGGACAATTCCCGTACATTTCATGGCCATTAAAAAATTAAGTACAATTCCCGGTTTTCCCGGATTTCCCGGTTGGTAGACACCCTGGATAACAGAGTTTTCACTTTGTTTCTTTCAAGTTTCACAAACTTTGTTGTTTGAAATTGTCACACATCAAAGTGAAAGTTTAATACCTTAAAAATCACGATTAACTTATAAACAAATTAATTTTTAGTTCACAATTTTACCGTTTTAAAATAAAGATAGATATGGTGCAAAACTTCTAGACAGGCCTCTCACCTGTTCCTCTGGTAAGTTGTTCCACTCGGCTGCAATGGCCGTGAACACATCTCCTGTCTTGTTGAAAGCTTCTAGTAGAGCCGAGTCCTGAGAGAAATGTGCGAGTAGCCTCAGCTCTAGTTGACTGAAGTCAGCTGACACCAGGATATTACCTGGGAACAGACAGGCATTAACCCTCTTTGATGCCTATGGCCATTTGAACACATGATGCCCCTTCGGATTAAAAATTTTGGATCGATTGGCAGCATTTTTGAGTAGATTCTTAAATATTTTATTAAGTTACACACTGGTTTGTCTGTGTTGGCTGAATGCAACACATTTAAGGGAATTGGTACAGGCACATGGGCGTCCATCCATATAGACCCCACGATAAACACTTTTTCCAGATCGTGGAGTAAAGACATAAAAGTTACATGTAAAAAACAATTGTCTCAAAGTGTGAGTGGGAGAAAATAGATATGCAGTTCTCCTGTATAGATTGAAAAATTAGAATGTGAAAAAAAACATAAATATGATTACTATATTATAATAAAGGACCAAAATATGTGGATAAACAAACCTATGATAATGAATGGGTAAAGAACGACGCAAAACACAAAAAATTGACAAAGGAAATTCAGGTACAAAAATGTGTAAAATCAACCATTTGTATCTACTTAAATTTTAAACATTTCCCTGCCCCTCTTCACTGGGGGTTATTCCTTACCCCCAGACCCTCCGGCCACCCTGATCAAAATGTTAGGTGGACGCCTATGTATAAGGCATTTCCAGGTCGCAAATCTAATATATAAAATTCTCGTGTCACAGTGTTTGTCTGCAAACTCCTCCGGAACGACTTCACCGATCGTTATGAAATTTGGTGTGTAAATTCTGTAGGTATGTGAATCGGACGTAAACTATTTCCCGTTTCGAAATTCTTAAAAGGGCTCCGCCCCAGTGGCTCTGGAGTTTCCCATGTTAACCTTATGAGAAATGGAATTAATGAATCTTAACAGCTGTTTCAATTAAACAAGTTGGTTCTGTTCTATGATGTTCAATAGCATTAAAGTTACAAGGATTACCAACAGGGTGCAGCACTATTATTTCTTTTACATTTATGACAACAGCTAATTTGCAACCAAAAGGTGAGTGAGCGTAGCGAACGAACTTCAACCTGGAGGCGAGTTAGCGTAGCGAACGAGCTAACCTGAAGGCAAGTGAGCGCAGCGAACGAGCTCCAACCTAAAGGTGAGTGAGCGTAGCGAACGAGCTCCAACCCAAAGGTGAGTGAGCGTAGCGAACGAACTTCAACCAGGACGTGATTGAGCAATGCGAACGAGATCATCTTGAAAATTAAACGTAAAGGTACTTTCTTTCCATCGGTCTGTCTTAGGGGAAACCTATAACTTAGGCGATACGAAGTTCGCCGGGTCAGCTAGTTTATATATAGGATTTCCTGGGGTGTTGAACATTCGGTTTTTTTTGGGACTAAAATCTAATTGAAAAATTATCAGGATATTATCACAATTACAGGAGATAACAATACCAGGCCTTGCCTCAATCGCGGCAGATCTGAACATTACTGCGATTCTGGATTCAACAGTTTTAAAAGTGAATAATGATGTGAATATATTTTTATTTCAACAACTGGTTATTATGTAAGATTTTGAAAAAAAAATACTTTGATATGAGATATAGTTTTAACATTTGGTTTCTAATATTCAAGTATGAATTTGAACAACCCTAGTTATTTTTATAAAGTCAATTGACACGTCCTTGCACTCTCTGGCTTGAAGACACCTTAGACTTTGCCTAAGATGACCTAGAAGATAATTTTGCCCTCGGAACAGATGTTCTTTCAACACATTTCTTGACATTCAAAGTTTTTATGAAAAAATAATCAAATTAACAAGTATGGTTTGCCACACCTGAGCTGGCTATAAAGGCAGATCGTGGACTGAAGACCTGATCATCAATGACAATGTCTCGAGGTGTGTGTTGAAGGCTGGGCTCCTGCATGGAGATGCGACCTGTCACAGAGTGAGAGTCCCAACATCCTCTGATACGATCTCCTTCCAACATCAGCAGACCTGACATGTTCTGTCAACATAACACAGCATCTACAGTTGTTGTGATGACAATGTCTCGAGGTGTGTGTTGAAGGCTGGGCTCCTGCATGGAGATGCGACCTGTCACAGAGTGAGAGTCCCAACATCCTCTGATGCGATCTCCTTCCAACATCAGCAGACCTGACATGTTCTGTCAACATCACACAGCATCTACAGTTGTTGTGATGACAATGTCTCGAGTTGTGTGTTGAAGGGTGGGCTCCTGCATGGAGATGCGACCTGTCACAGAGTGAGAGTCCCAACATCCTCTGATGCGATCTCCTTCCAACATCAGCAGACCTGACATGTTCTGTCAACATAACACAGCATCTACAGTTGTTGTGATGACAATGTCTCGAGGTGTGTGTTGAAGGCTAGGCTCCTGCATGGAGATGCGACCTGTCACAGAGTGAGAGTCCCAACATCCTCTGACACGATCTCCTTCCAACATCAGCAGACCTGACATGTTCTGTCAACATAACACAGCATCTACAGTTGTTGTGATGACAATGTCTCGAGGTGTGTGTTGAAGGCTGGGCTCCTGCATGGAGATGCGACCTGTCACAGAGTGAGAGTCCCAACATCCTCTGACACGATCTCCTTCCAACATCAGCAGATCTGACATGTTCTGTCAACATAACACAGCATCTACAGTTGTTGTGATGACAATGTCTCGAGGTGTGTGTTGAAGGCTGGGCTCCTGCATGGAGATGCGACCTGTCACAGAGTGAGAGTCCCAACATCCTCTGACACGATCTCCTTCCAACATCAGCAGACCTGACATGTTCTGTCAACATAACACAGCATCTACAGTTGTTGTGATGACAATGTCTCGAGGTGTGTGTTGAAGGCTGGGCTCCTGCATGGAGATGCGACCTGTCACAGAGTGAGAGTCCCAACATCCTCTGATACGATCTCCTTCCAACATCAGCAGACCTGACATGTTCTGTCAACATAACACAGCATCTACAGTTGTTGTGATGACAATGTCTCGAGGTGTGTGTTGAAGGCTAGGCTCCTGCATGGAGACGCGACCTGTCACAGAGTGAGAGTGTCCCAACATCCCCTGATACGATCTCCTCCAACATCAGCAGACCTGACATGTTCTGTCAACATAACACAGCATCTACAGTTGTTGTGATGACAATGTCTCGAGGTGTGTGTTGATGGCTAGGCTCCTGCATGGAGATGCGACCAGTCACAGAGTGAGAGTCCCAACATCTTCTGATACGATCTCCTTCCAACATCAGCAGACCCGACATGTTCTGTCAACATAACACAGCATCTACAGTTGTTGTGATGACAATGTCTCGAGGAGTGTGTTGAAGGCTGGGCTCCTGCATGGAGACGCGACCTGTCACAGAGTGAGAGTCCCAACATCCTCTGATACGATCTCCTTCCAACATCAGCAGACCTGACATGTTCTGTCAACATAACACAGCATCTACAGTTGTTGTGATGACAATGACTCGAGGTGTGTGTTGATGGCTAGGCTCCTGCATGGAGATGCGACCAGTCACAGAGTGAGAGTCCCAACATCTTCTGATACGATCTCCTTCCAACATCAGCAGACCTGACATGTTCTGTCAACATAACACAGCATCTACAGTTGTTGTGATGACAATGTCTCGAGGTGTGTGTTGAAGGCTGGGCTCTTGCATGGAGATGCGACCAGTCACAGAGTGAGAGTCCCAACATCCCCTGATACGATCTCCTTCCAACATCAGCAGACCTGACATGTTCTGTCAACATAACATAGCATCTACAGTTGTTGTGATGACAATGTCTCGAGGAGTGTCTTGAAGGCTGGGCTCAACATATTCATACCAGGTGATGAACATTGATAAATACATACATTCAGGAGTTTGTTAAATAAACCAAAAATAAGTACAATTGGCATCAAAATATAGTTTAGGGACGAATTTAATGTCTTGATATAGCTCTTAAAGAACGATTAAATTAATTTCCTTATAGCAAACAACCTGGTTTGATAGTAATCATGTGTTCTAGTTTGTAGCCGATAAAAAGAGGGATGTTGATTGCTTAAAGCGCATACGATCTGCTCTTACCTAAACATTTTGGAAATGTGATACAAACAACTCTATACTAAAATCTTACTACCAAACAATAAAACTCATTTAACTCGGTTAAGAAATGTAGTTAGAATATTTCCCAAGCATATCACAAAGTAAAAGTACTTGATGGACGTTTAACATTATTTCTTTTTAAAATATCCCAACTAAACACATCAAATCTACGAGCACACTAGCATTAAACAGTTAACTCAAGGGTAACATTATTTTAAAATGTGCATTAGGACTAGCATTAACACTAGGAGTAAATATATTTTGTGGAAGATAGTAAATAAATGAAGCAGGTTTTACCCTTGTTTTCAAAGAATTCAAAACCCTCCAAGATCGAAGAATGCTGTTAAAATGATCTAGTCCATCTTCGGATGTTTCCTTTACCATCTTCTTTGCCTGGAATAAACAAAAATTTGTTTAACTCTGACTGGTAAAAAAGGGGGCTTGACAAGGAAAGTATTATTTTTTTTTTAACTGATGTAACTTAACTATTTACATCTAATCATTAAGTTGATAATTCACTTTTTGTGGTTAAGTAGGAATTTTATATGACTGAGATAAAAACAACACAAAAAAAGCAAAGTAAAAGTATCAAACTAACTCAAAAGTTTCTTTGCATTTTGTTGCCAACAATTACTTGATATATTGTGCTGTACAGTTAAAAACATTCTTTAGTCTTATTAATACTTTGGAGAAAAAATAAATAAATTAGGTTTCTCCCTATACAATGTAAATAGGCCCCATTAGACTACTAATGAAAGGAATAAATAACGTTATAAATGACGTTAAGTTTGAAGACCAAACATTTCTAAATCAAAATCTCCTAATAATACAATTTTCTTTAAATTTTACTGCAGCCTTTCTTCCAATTTCCTTAAATACTGTACGTCTGAATCTTTTTGCAATAATGAATTTTTTGCAGTGTGCAAGTTTATCTGTTATATTGGCGGAACTCTATCAATTTCAGAATCCATGGGTTTGGGTTGTTCACTGAGTTAACACTGAGCGCTTACTAAATACATTATAAATGTGTTGTATGTATGTATTCGGTGTTGCGTAAATAAAAAGAATAAATCAATCATAAACTATCCCTTTCCAGTTATTCCTTTTAATGTTGGTGGATAAAAGAATAGTTTTAACTTCATCGCTTTTTGTGGCCCTAAAAAAAACATATGTGACTTAAAATGGCTTTAAATGTCAAATCGGTGACCTCGCCTACCTTAGCCAGGTCAGTGCGGGAGCGCAGGTTGAACTTCTTGCCACACAGAGTGTACAAGTTGTTCTGCAGTTCCGTCATCTTCTCCTCTGTGGCTGTCCAGAGCAGTTCTGCGTACTCTCTGTCCCACGCCACTCCCTCCCACTCCAGCTCTGCCAGCACCCTCTGTGTAGGCATCTCTACTTCTGGGGATGGACAGAATATGTCAGAGTCGTGCCACAAACTTGTATAAAGTTGGCAATTTAAAAGTTCAATATTTATAAAATTTAAAATTTATTTACTTTAGAACTCCAATCTCTTGTAGATAATGTCAAGTGAGGGAACTATGTATTTATTAGTTGATATGTCAAGAGTATTCTGTTACATTTAAATGTCTCCGGAGTATTTGTTGTAAGAAAATTAAATAGTTTCTAACCTTTTTGTAAGAAATTACACAAATAGCGTTTCACAGATTGTAGTACTGACTGTTGAATGCTGTAGTAGACATCTCAATTCATACAGGGTAGAACAAAATTTAAAAAAAAAAACTCGGGACGGATGAATATAAAAAAAATTAAAAATAGCAACAAAACTTGGAATCAAACTACTGGTTATCTTATATACTAAAAAACGTTTGCAAAACTTATGACAGCTAGCCTGGCCTTACTACTGGACCGAATTACACGAGGTTGGTACCAAATGAAAGATATTTACCTGTAGATGTGCAGAGTCCCTTTATAAATTAAAATAGACTCATAAATAAGCACAACAAATGAATTTGAAATTTTGAAAAAATAACATGGGTCTTATGGGTTGAAATATCAAGAAAATATAAACAGAAAATCAAAACAATTGGCAGACATTCCAATCACATGTTTTTTATTGTACATAACAAATGTTTGGTAGAGTGTTCGTTCACGGGGCGAGCTTTCGTTTGCTTCCATCTGCATTTTCAATGTGTCATAATTATTTCTGCTCAAAAGTTCAAGTGATTACTCATATTTTTTTTCCATATTCCTCACTTAATTAAGTATCATAATCTATAAAAATTGAAACAACTATTCTTTAATTACACTCACACAATAATGACTTTTATTTACTTTTGTTAACATAACAAAACTAGATACATAACATATGGCTTAATAAAACAGGTAATACGTAAATTGGATGATGTTGTCACTCCAACATCTACATTGTGAAATACATGACTGCATTCTGGGAGATAAAATAACTAATCCCTTAACATTTTCTTTTGTAACATGTGCTGCAACACAATTAAAAATTGTGTTTCAAATTTAATTTCAAAGTTATACTTGCGAATTTTAGTAAAGAGTTGAAACATAAATTCAATTTTATTGATGAATGTTTTTTATCCTTATCAGAGGAAAATTTAAAAAGTATAATGCTAAACATCTATAACACTTTACTATAGGATTGAGTAAAAATTTTAAAGTGGTTTTAAGTGCAATACATTTGTATGTTGTTTTTTTATAAATGTTTCCATAGAAACATTAAATCACTTCATCCAAAACTCTCAAACAATTAACAGCACCAACAATTATCTTTGTAAGTCTTCTTTTTTTGTCAATTGGTAAGCCATCATGAGTCGCATTCGTAAGGTGTTGGTAGGTGTGGGTGTAGGGATCGCTGTAGGCTGGGTAGTGAAGAAAGTATTCGGGGGACCGCCTCCGCCACCTCTTGGAGGTGTCGGGGTGTTGGTTCCACGAGTACTTGAACCACTACCTTCCGACAGTTTCCCTACTCCTGCACCTCCAGCATCCTGGGGGTGGGGCTCCTGGTAGCAAGTAAAAGAGGTGCTAGACGGGGACAAACCACAGAGCAAAGAATAAGGACAAACACAAATGAAAATAGAAGGAGGCTGCAAACATCTAAAGCCAGGCGTAGGATAAGACCCTGAACCCATCACAAGCTCGAAAAACGATGGGATGAGATTCTCATGACTTAGGGTAACTGAAACACCCTCTAGGAGTCGAAACAAAAAGGAGATATGCTAGCAGCAAACCAGATAGGCTAGCAGTAGCAACAAACCAGATAGGCTAGCAGCAAACCAGATAGGCTAGCAGCAAACCAGACAGGCTAGCAGATAGGCTAGCAGTAGCAACAAACCAGATAGGCTAGCATCAAACCAGATAGGCTAGCAGTAGCAACAAACCAGATAGGCTAGCAGTAGCAACAAACCAGATAGGCTAGCAGCAAACTACACCAAGGGATTAAATGTAACCTTTACTAAGGACTGGTCGATGAGGGAAATCAAGTGCGGGATCTTGAACAAACAGAGGAAACCAAAGACTACGAGGTTGGAATTTAAATACCCAAAGGAATGTCTAGTGGAGGTTCTTAGTTTTGCTGTAGAATAACCAATAAATACTCCCTTCAATGAACTACATATTTTATTTTTATTTTTGAAGTAGACATAGGTTATTTGTAAGGGCTTCTTTAAAAAAGTTAATAGGATAGGAATGTTTTGTGGATTATCTAAACATCGTCAACACTTTTAAAATGTGTTTTACAGGTTATGACAAGCTGTAAATATTGAATCATAACCATAATATTACTGTTCTTAAAATAAATAACAGTAGTTAAAATCTATTTTACAAATTACTAAGAGATTCCCAACCTCCTCATAGGGGAATTGCCCGCTAGGAGTCAGACGAAAATCTTATATGCAAACATGGGTTGATATGCACATCAAATTAAAGTTATTTTCTTAACTAGTGAAAAACAATGTCGCAAATCCAAACTCAAACGAACAACCGAGCTAAGCATGGCAGCCGTTCAAAATTTCTTGAATTTGCGATTTTGAATCTTTGAACAGCTGCCATTTTTGACTCAGTCGTTCTTTAGAGCTAAAATTTGCAAAATAAAATAAAATGGTTCTGATACTTGCCTGTGTATGATTTGTAGTGTCCACATTGCTTCAGTTTTGTCCTGAGTAGAGAGCAAAGTTGCAGCACAAGCAACGCGGTAAACCCAGCCTCCAGAGAACACTGAGGTGCGGACACGCCATACGAGCGAGCCTGGCATAGTGACATTGACATAAATATGAATCAGATCAGAACTACTGGAAATGTTTGGCAACTGAACATTCACAAGAAAAAATGGATCAAACAAAACTTAAAGTTGATATGACATTTGAGATTGATGATAAGGGTTTTTATTTGCTACTATGAAATAAATCTTCACCAACTACCAGTGTAATGTAAACAAATCATGTGACAAAATGTGAACCTGCACCAACTAAAGTTGACTCAGACTGAATACAATCAACCACCAACAGTTAACATTGAAACACAGATACTGTACATTAATATCCCTGCCATAGAGAACCTACAGTGATAATGCCATAACCACATAGTTTTGAGCCCATCTAAAGTCGTAGTTCCTCCTATCTAAAAGACAGAATGATAAGTCATTAGGCAAGAAGAACTTTCTCTGTATTAAGAACTCCCCTCCACTAAAGGGTTTAGACGCATTTCCCTCAAAAGTGTTTGTAATTTTCATAGAAAGTATAGAAACTAATTTTAAAATAAAAGACGTATGATAATTTAAAACAGTATACACCTCAACAACAAGACTCTCACAGGGATCATTAAATACGACTTTTTATGAAAGTTTCCTTCTTATCGAGGTTTGCAATAACATGTATTTAGGAGTAAAATAAATTCTAGGTGATTTTAAAATGACACTTGTTATCAATGATGACTTATCAAGGTTACACTGTGGTAAAGTAAAGCAAAATGACTGACCATTTGTTTGAGGGTAGGTGTTTGTTGATGGGGTTTCAGCAACCACTCGGCGACCGTAGGATCACTGAGTCTAGCCTCACACTGCAGTTGGCAGCACTGAAGCAACAGCAACAGCGAACGTTTGACATCCCAGCAACATACAACCAAGTCTTTGCGGCCCAACATCTCTTTGAGAGCTGAGAGGTTTAGAACACCTGATGATAAATTTACAAGGCTATTTAATCTTTATCAAAAACTTCACAAAGCTAAGAAACCAAACTAAGTACTATGAAATCTAACGTTTGCACAGAATAATTTTATGGTAAGTGATGATCTGTTTGGAAATCTCTTTAAATGGTTTCATGCACGTTATCTTATCCACTACTGTCTAGAGAAATGTCTAAACTCACCATGCTTCTGGTCCAAAGGAACGACATACATCTTTTCACTGCCGCAACATATCACAGCAGACGTGATCGCAACACCCTGGTAACAATAGGCGTAGTTTGGTTCTGACTTCTTGTTGACAAACCTCTTTCCGATCTTTCCCGTCTTCTCTTCAGTCTGAGTGGTAATCACCAAGGAGACACATTTACGCTTGAGTATTTCCGCTGAAAACTCTCGTCTGGACCTCGCATTGTCCACAGTCACTATCTCAACTTGGGATTTGGTCTCGTTTAAAGTCTGAGAATCAACATTCTGAGTTCTGAAAATTCAGTTTTAGTTAGGCGTTTTACACAAATCGTTATATTGTATAATGATGTTGCACATAAAGAAATCTTCCTAAACAAACATTTCTAACAGATCCATAGAATAACGATTATAATAAAATTCCATGAGTAGGAAAACAAATTCAATAAAGAAAACCAGTTATCGTATGTTCTTACAGTACTCTTGGTAAGCTAAATTGGCCTCAATCCTTACTGCTTTTCTTATCCAAAGTATGCATACATTGAGTGACTATAGTATGGTTTGAATTACATAGTAGTACAAAAATACTTGATTTCTTACCTAGTTCTTAACACGGTGTGCTTAATTCATCTCATAAAGTAAATATCAGTTTGTTGTTCTGCGTAATCCAAACTTTGGAAAATCCTAACATTGTTTGGTCCCAATCAGTTCAGATTTGTGGGATTTTACTGGTAATTAAGTATTTTCACATTAGACGATTCAAAACGTTAATAGTTGATGAGGATGTATTGACTTAAGTCTTGCTTGTTTTGTTTATTAAAGGTAACAATGTCTATAGAGAAAAAACTAAATATTACTTTTTGTTGGATGGATCACATTGACAAGAGTAGACTAGACTAGAGTAGTACAGCATTTGAACATAATATCAAAATAATTTGTTTATATTAAAGGGTACGCAATAACAACTATCTAAAAAAAAATTAAGATTCCATTTCGCTAAATTTTGTAACTGTATATCTCACCTTTCTCCGATGATTTTTTTAGGTGTCACTGGATTTGATGTTTTCTCTTCTTTGGATTCCAAATTAAATGAACTTTCAAATGCTTTTTTGAGCAAACTATCGGTTATGGAACAATTTTCATCAAAAGTCGATTGTTTGTTTTTGGTTTGTTTCACCTCTAGACTAGACTCAATTATGGTTTCCTCACTGGAAGGTATTGTAATGCAATCGTGTGACTGTTTTGAGACCGGTATTACGCTGGAAGTCTTAATTGCTTTTGAATCCTTTCCTTTACGAGGATGTTTGAAAAGTTCTGTACATAATACTTTAGCTGGATCATCTTGGGATTCGTTGTTTTTCACATGAAATGGTTGTTCTCTTCTTGTCTTATTTCTACCAGGCTTCTTAAACAAAATTGACTTTTGATGAGATACTGGAGTACCGAAGATTGTTTCTTCATCATCAAACATCAAATTCTGAATCTCTTTCATTTCCATTGATTCGGTCCACTTAAGTTTTCCATTTGTGGGTTCTCCGACGATGTTTATATAATTATTTCCTGTTTCAACATTATCCATTATGTTGCAAATCTGAGTGTTGATATCAAATTCACTGATTTCAATTTGTTTTGAATAGTTTTTGTTATTTTCCTGTGTGTTTATTTTTGTTTTTGTGTCTGATCTAAGGTTGATGATATCATTTAATTTAGAATCAATCATGAAACTATCTTCAAATAAACTGTTGTTCACATCATTATTTACACATTTAGATTTATCTGAACATATTTCTTGATCATGCTTTTCATTTTGTTTCATTGCTTTACATTTGATTGACGTATTATTGTCTTTTCCTGCAATCTGTAAGTTTGACTTCTCTAAACCGAAGAAATTTTGTTTATTTTCAATGTTTTCCATAATACTGGATGTTGTTGAATTATTCTCTTTACTTGAACAGTCGTCTAAGTCATTGAATATGTTGCTATCTATGTTTGCATTATATTCCGAAAATGATCCATGTTCAGAAAACTCGGCAGATACCCTAAGTTCAAATGAAGCACTTTTGTGATCACTGAGATTATTTTCACAATTCATATTTATGTCATTCACCAAACATTCATTTGAATTCACAAATAAGTCGTCACAACTATCATTATTAATTCTTGTGTCAGTCTGTTTATCAACTATTGGACTCCCTGGACTAGAACTATCAACAAGGCTTTGTGAAAGGGTTGGAGTAGACGTTTTAATGAGTTGTAATTTTGATTTCATATGTTTGGAAACTTTAACTTCATTCAATACCGGTATCTCACTTACTTGGTCACAATTTTTGGGCGTTGAAACTTTAATTTTTTTACTAACATTTACATCTTCAATACTATGTTTTCTTTTCCTGTCGTCAGTTAAAGCAACAAGTGATGATATCCCTAACATCAAAGAGTCACCTTCTCCATTTGTATTCCACAGATCAACAAGATTTTGACCTTCACTTTCTGGGTGGACACATTCATCTTCACATGTTTCCGGGACAAAAGACGACATTTCCAACAGACTTTCTCCCCCAAGATTTGCATCCATTTTTTCCAACAAAGCATCATTGACGTCAGTTGTTTTTGGTGAGTCTAAAAATACGGCTTCATTTTTATCAGGCTGTTCATCTATTACTAAATCTGATACAGCATTTGATCGGACTAAAATATCTTCCGGCCCTTGTTTTCTTATTAATGAATCATGCTCTAAAGCACCTATTGACTTCGTAGGCTTCTTTGATTTCATTTCTCGTGGAAGAATTTTTGGAGTGATAACTGTAGTGCAATCTTTCAAATGAATATTTCCCCGGACAGTATTTATCTTGGAACAGTTAAGTTGGTCATCAAGATTGTCGCCTTGATCCGGAGAGTCAAACAGATCTAAACTTCCCCTTTTTCTTGTACAACTATTATTAATTGGAGTACTATTACTTCTGACTGTCTCCACATTAGTATTTGAATTTCCATCTTCTGATCCTTTACTTTCTTGTTTTAAGTTTTGAGTTTCATGGCTTGTTGTGTTTGTTTTTCCATTAGTTTCAAAATCAATATTTGATGGGCATTTAGTAAGATTAGTTTTTGATACAACATCGTTGTTTGTTTTTGTTGAGTTATTAATTTCATTCTCTTTATTTTCTCCCACTGATGTATTGAGTTTATTTGTCATTACTTTTTCATTTTCTTTTTCACTACATATTTTTATTTCTTGCCCAATACATTTAAAGGGGGTATCTAAAACTTGGGTCAGAGATTTTTCAGAAACAGAGCTGATCTCAGAAGCATTTAAATCTCCCCAATTTGCACTCTGCAGTCCCAATTCTCTCTGCAAAAAGTCAAATGAACTAATTAGTCTTGTTTCAAAATAATTTTAAACATTTGAAATGAGTTCAATTATTACATGATATTCAGGAAAGCCCTTTTTAGAAATACAGTAGAAGCTTGATTAAGCAGGGGCGGATCAACCGTAGTCTATAGATGCCTCTAAAATTACATTACATGACCTCATAATTTAAGGAAAATACCAAGAAAATATTATAAATTGTGTTTCTTTATGGTTTGTCTTTCTTCTTTTTGGGTATCGGCATAGACAAATAGAATGAATATAGACCGTCAGCTGTGCTGCGGTTAGCATAAAATCTGGCGTCCACCGCTAGGTTTGCCGTGTAGTTACGGCGCACACCGCTGCAACGTCTGCTGGTCGCATACGGCTTCTGCGCTCCTCTCCTGCAGCGGTGTGCGCCGTAACTACACGGCACTCCTAGCGGTGGGCACCGGAACCTTCCTTTGACAGTCTATATTTATTCTATTTGTCTATGGTATCGGTATCGGCATCAACTTTTGACGATCAATTCTCGATACCGATACCAAGAATCAGTGCTATCAAGAATCGACACATTTGTAGTTATTTGTGATCAATGCCTAATGCCTTAAAAAAAAGCAAGATGTTTCAAATGAAAAACTAACTTAAAACCAGTTTTAAGTTTGCCATCACAGAAATTTTCTTGATCAAAGATTTGCTAGACAAGTGGTTTCTTAGTATTTTCCAACCGTTTTGCAAATCCGCCTTGCCAAAGACGATTTAGGTCGGATAATCGAGACTACTCTTCTATCACTCTCTCTTATATCTCTCTTTCATATCACATGATTTATATTATAAAGGTAACTTGAAGAAGGAAAAAATAAATATTGTATTTATTTACACTGTTATAATACCTCAAGATATTGCCTAGCCTCGTGTACCAGTATCTCAGCTGCCTGTGTCTCGGTGACGGCACATCGGCCGACCAACCAGATCCTACATTTGTCTGTGTCACTCTCCTCACCTTCCCCGTCCTGCTCACTGTGTCGTAAAATAACAATACTTCAACTTATTGTACTATCATATAAAGGATAAAAATCTACTGTTACTAATAATTATAAAAGTAAACTTGTTTCACAACTTTAAAAAACATTTTATAGATTTCGTTGGAACTTTTAGAAATGTATCTTGATGGTAAAAACTTTTCACATAAGACTAGTAAATTTACTAGATTTATTATGATCATATTGATTTGTTGTTACTAACCCACTTGAACAGTGTAGATTTTTGTAGCTTAAGCCATAAGAGTTACATAGAAAAAAATCATTCAAAACAGAGGGGACACAATCCACAAGTAGATTTTTTCCGTTTGCTTTCTTTAATAGATTTTATTGAAATTTTATTTTTCATTTTAATAACTAGGCCTAATTTTAAAACTTTAGATATTTTATTACAATTATTTAATAAGAAGAGGCATTTAATTTGGAAGTTTAAGTAAACAAGAGCCAAAAACCATCCTTATTTTGTTCACTTGACCTTCTTCTTAAACAGTGGGATGAGACATCATTAAATTGGAAAGCTAAATCAGATGTACAAAAATTTTAATATTTAACCAAATTTATTAGTTCATTAGAGAGCCAAATTGCTAAGCTAGAAATTTCATTATAAGGAGTTTAGCTAGCTTACGTAAGAAAATTATAGTCTTAGTCCCCTAGCCACTAGAAATCAAGATTTTTCTCAATTTTTTCTTCAAACTACTCTCTGATGCAGCCCTATTAATACAAAAAATCAAATTTAAATTTTTTGACCTTTTATTACTGTATGTATGTATCTATCAGCCCTTGGACTAAAATTTCCTCAGATAAGCCAACTGAACTTTATTCCTGTCCGAAAATTCCTACATTCTAAGCTATGATATGATTTTTGTCTCATCTACCCTAATGACAAATTCTCTATACTCCAGTTCACCTGAGGAAGGGTGTGGCCCTAGCCAGGGCTCGCTGCACTTTGCCCACAGTAGCTGTAGCCAGGTCAGACAGGGCCTGTATGCCATTGTTGTACAGTGCTCTAGCCTGCAAGGCAGTCAGGCAGTCCAGCCGCAGCAGGTCTAGTAGTTCCCGTTGAGCACCAAACTGTAGTCGAGCACCAAACTGTGACACCAACAACTCCACGTTGGACCAGCCCAGTCGCCGAGTGAACTGAGTCACCATGCCTGAGGAAAATGTTTGCTTTAGTTGGTTTAAAACCAAATTCATGAATACATTTTGAAAATTGACACACTGTGATATATTTTGAATAAGAATCACATTTTTGTAGCTTTTTCCTGAGGATTCTATGTGATTATCTGTTTTAAAGATGCACATGAAGCACTAGAAAATCTATTTTTTGTTATCATGGTACTATGGAAAATTTAACTTGAATCCTATTTTTACTACACAACAACCCTCTAATCCGTCCCCTATGCGATTGGTTATTGTTAGAACGGTTGGATTATCCGAGGAACATAAAATTTACAAATTAATTGGTTAACTGACTTTTATTGATCGCACCCAATAGCAGAAGAGAGTGATAATGTTGCCGTGACCATAGGGGACGTTTAATATTTTGCCACGATCATGGGAGACAGTGATAATGTTTCCATGGCACAGGAAACGTTCAATATTTTGACAAGATTGCAGGAGATGAAAAATGTTTCTTATAACGCTAGAGATATTCAGGATAGTTTCCGTAAATGTAAGAGATGCAGATGATGATAATTTTTCCCTGAATTTGGGAGTTGCTTGGTATTTATTTGCGATCACAGAAGGTGGTGATGATGTCTATGACCGCAAGGGATGTTAACCCTTTCAGTTTTATGCAACAATATATTGTTGTTTTATAAAATCTCCAAGGGATATAGAGAGGAAGGTTATTTTAACAAAAAGTAGCAAAACGTCCATTGGTGACCTGCATGTTCATAGGATACACTAACGACTTAGGTAAAAGATTCACCCAATCCAATGATTCGAGATGTATGTCTAAACCAAGGATTCAGCAGGCTGAACAGGAAAAGTAAAATAATAAATTAGTGAGGTACTGTAGTCCCAATTCCAAAATTTGAGTATATATTACTCCCATTGCCTATGCTGCAACAAAACATTTTATACCTTAGTCTAATTTTATACTGACCAGCAAATGTAGAAGCTGACTGTTGAAGTGACTGTAACACTCCCTTGGAGCAAGCAAACTTGACGGCAACTTGTGGCAGAGGAACCTCATTGACCAGATCTTGTAGAGCTAGAGCTGTGTAGAACCTCCGGTGTATTGACAGCTTCTGTGACAAAATATAACATACAAGCAAACTTGACAGCTACTTGTGGCAGAGGAACCTCATTGACCAGATCTTGTAGAGCTAGAGCTGTGTAGAACCTCCGGTGTATTGACAGCTTCTGTGACAAAAAATAACATGCAAGCAAACTTGACGGCAACTTGTGGCAGAGGAACCTCATTGACCAGATCTTGTAGAGCTAGAGCTGTGTAGAACCTTTGGTGTATTGACAGCTTCTGTGACAAAATATAACCTTGCAAGCAAACTTGACAGCGACTTGTGGCAGAGGAATTTCATTGACCAGATCTTGCAGAGCCTGAGCTGTGTAGAACCTCCGGTGTATTGACAGATTCTGTGGCAAAACAAAACATAGAAAACCGCAAAAAAATAAACATAACTAGTTTTTAAACATTTTTTGTCTGAGATAGATCCCTTGAAACAAAATATTACGTCACTCATAAAGATTAGGCTACAAAAAAACTTTGTGCAACATAACACAAATAATTTATCCTTAGGCTTTTTTCAGAGAGTAAATTGAAGAATAGTACCAGTTAGGCTTAACATTTAAAGCCATTTAAACTCCATCACATTTTAAACAAATTGAATAGAGTATTACAATAGTGCTGTTTAAATTTTAAGTGAATTTCCCTTCCATCTTTTCTCTGAGAAAAAACACATTATATCAAAATATAGGTATACAATATGAGTTTCATGAAAAATATCAGATAAGTAAAATTCCAATACTATGTTGTGTTTGGTTTATGCGCATATCAATTCCTTGGATATTTTTCAGGGAAGTGAGCTGGTCTAGTGGTAGAGCACAGGGCTTCAGTCCAAGAGGTCCCGGGTTCAAATCCTGTCAATCACTGATGTCTTGAAGCCATTTTTCTCACCTTGTAGACCTAGCCTGAAGTAATGTGGAAAACCGCTCCAGGCTAGAGTCTAGCAGATTAGAATTTGAAGGTTCATTAAAAAAACCGTGAATTCTAATTTTCTCAGATAAACCAGCAAAACACTATCATTTTCGTTAAAAGAATAAATTCACAAAAAACTTATATATATACTTATTTACTCCAAATTCAATTATGAGGAAATGCAGTTCTAGAAAATAAGAAGAAACCTGACACAATCAATCTGGAATATCCAGTCACAGACAAAGACATCAAGTAACTGTTCAAGTTAACTAACCTGTCCATTGTTCTTCATGTTAAGAGTCCCCCGCACTGCGCCCACCAGGAACCTCTCTTCCACCCCCACCAGTTCCCCCACTCTCTTCATACTGACAGGCAGATCCTCCCAGAGAGAGAGGACTCTCAACCAATCCAGCTGTCCCCACTGATCACTCACGGAATACGGTGTGACCTTCAACATACATAAGGGTCAACCCTCAGGCTGTTCTAGGGCTGAAGAGGGCTAAATACTTACTGAAACTGTAGATTTACACGATAACGTCAAGATCTATCCTTGCCCGTTTTTTCAGACTTTAGGCCTACCACTCATTCAACTTATAAAAAACTTAATATTATCACGGGTTGAAATGGGAACAACATAGCCCACAATACATTTAGCGTAGCTGTGGTGTGAGAGTGAATAATTTGTTATTTGATGGTAATTGCCACTTAATACAGGAGTAATCTAAAACATGGGCAAAAATATGCTGTAATAGATTGAAACGTTTAACACCTTACATTTAAATCTTAGATGTGAATAGTTTTTCTATTTGTTGCCAGTTTGTGCTAACATTACTCTCAAATTAATTAATTTGATAAATGAAATGGCAAAACATTTAAAAGGCATAGACTGATTCTTAGTATCTTGAGTCCAATGTGTCTATTGTGTAGCTTTATATAGGTAGCTTTAAATATCATAGCATTTGTGTAGAGTGTTGAATTGACAAGTTTAATTTAATTTAGGATTTACTTGTATGAAGGGTATTAAATAAAGAGAATATCAGTTAAAAAAACTCAAATTTGAATCTTACAAACCTATTTTGGGAGTTAGAATACCAAACATGGTGTGTGTATGGCTGTCTTTTACTATAACAAAATATCAGTGAAAAACAAATTTAAATGTAAAATTTGAGATTTGTTCTTAACTTTGACTATCACCACTTATAACAAACCTGATAGATCACATGCAGTTCAGTTTCCAGCACGAAGCACTGCCGAGCTCGGTGAAGCTCTTTGAGCAGTTTCAGCCCCTGGTCAGGGGGCAGGGACGCGCTGAGACACGCCTCGGCTAGTGGAGTAGGGCTGAGCGAGCTGCCAGACACTCTTATGAACTCATTAGTCTGCAAGTACTCCACACAAGACGCTAGCGGGTCGACAAGCGAGTTATCACTATCCTCAGTCGCTGAACTTGCTAAGAACGTACAGTTTGTGTAGAGCTCTACGTCCTCTGAAGTGCTCACAACGCCACTCGCAATAACCTGGTCAGTAAGTGGTTAGGTCTATGCGTAAAACAAAAATAGATTTTATTTAGGAAGTTCATTTTCTAGTTACAGTTGAACCTCTATAAGACGAATTTCAAGGGGTACGGGAAATATTCGTACAATAGAGGTATTCTTAATAAAGAGGGTCGTTTTATCGAGGTTTAATGCTGCTGTTATTCTTCTTATAGAGGTTTCTCCTTGCTCCAAGGTTTTTCCAAACAATGATTGAGGAAGGAGGAGGGATGGGTGGGGGTTTCATGTTGAGACAAGCTTCTGTTTGTTTTGAAAACTACGTACTATGGAGGTTAAGATTATGATAAATTCGTCTTATAGAGGTCACGTTCGTCTTGTAGAGGTTTTGTGCTAAGAATATTCGTTGTAGGTTAATCAGTCCTAGCCCATGTCACAAACAAATTCGTCTTATGGAGGTTTTTAACTTAATTACTACGTTGTATAGAGGTGTTTTTAGCATTGACCTATATGAAAGTGTCAAGGGGATTAAAAAAAATTCGTCTTATCGAGGAATTCGTTTTAACGAGGTTCGTACAAACGAGGTTCAACTGTATTAGATAGGAATTCTAGGAAGTTATATAGCTTCCTAATTATATAACTCCAGCCATCATCCAAGTCATTATAACTTAGAGCCGGGTTTTCCTAGGCGCGGAAGAGGAGCGCGGAGAGAGGAACCCGGAGAACGGAAAAGAGATTAACATGATGTTCCGCTCTGCTTCTAGGAAAACAGTAACATTAAATTACCTAAGACAAGTGGAGTCCGCTCTCCGCGTTCCTCTCTCCGCTCTCCATTTCCGCGCCTAGGAAAACCCAGTTTAAGGGAGAAAAATCTCACTCATCGGATCTCTAGCTTAAGTTAAAAGGCTGATGTGTGTCACTGAGAAGTAAGGTACGGAGTAAACATGCTTAGAGACTACCGTGTGCTTTCAGCTCTAAATGTTGCGCCAGAAATATACTTGTGACGAGCAAGGGAGAGCCCAAGCAGCGAGCAATGTGCGGAAATTCCTATCGCACAGGGCACAAATTCTTCCTCCAACGTGAGCGTTATAGTACATAGGGGCGAGGGTAAGGGGCAGTGTTGGACTTTGCTGTAGACACCAGCGATTAGTGCTAGACACCGCACAAACATATTATTGAGTATTTCCTCTGTACCTTCTCTCTCTGTGAGGGAGTATGTTACACTTAACCTTTTACCTCCAACACTGCTCTCTTCAGACTGGAGGACAAGTCCCCTACCCCTAGACTGCTCTCTACTGGGGGCAGCTGTGCCTTTACCAGCTGTTCACCCACAGGTCTCTCCGCCCCAGAACAGATCAGAAAACTCTCACCTGCAAAACCAACAAGGTTAGCAAACTCAAAAAGACTATAATAAAACTAATGAACATCACAGATATCCACAAGTGTTCCTTGCTATTTTCCAAATATAGATACATTCAATAGTTACTACAAATTTAAATTTAAATGCAAAATTTGAGATTTGTTCTTAAATTTGACTATCACCACAAACCTGATAGATGACATGGAGTTCAGTAGTATAGTAAAATCTAGTATAGTAAAACTCCTTTAAACCACACCAAGTCAAACCGAAACCCGGGTTAACTGAAAATATTAACAAAAATTCAAATCAATTAGAAAATAAGCTAGGCAATGGGAACTGGGAACTGTACGCTCAAGTGCAGGTGGTTAGCCGTTAGCCTGAGTAATTTTTGCGGCAACCGCTTTGAAATAAGTTTTAGAACAAAATTTTCAATTATTTTAGGAAGTAAATTTTATGAATACAGTTGTAGATAAGAGTTATTGATCGAAAAAAACTAATAAAGATATTTTTAATATCGCTGTCAAGACTTCATTGTTATGCAGTCTCTGTTCTCGTCCTCCCCTAAAGGCTAAGGAAAGCAAGACATCAAACCCTTAGTAGCCTATTGAATTAAAAGATTGTGATCAAATCTATGAACTTACAAAGTGTCATACAGTATAGAGTCAAAAATCCGAACATATTGGGACCGTAGGTAGTTCAGATTACCGATTTGTTCGGATTTTCAAACATAGCCTAGAAATGCTTAATAGACACATTAGGCCTACAGTATTAAAAATACAGTTCTAGGATACAGTGAATGAAATAAAAATAATGACTTTTGTACTTAGGTATTTTCGTTATATAACTGTAATTTGTTTCTTGAAAAAAATATGTAGAGCTTATACATTGGAAACGAACAAATGACAGACTGGCTCAGTGCGTTCACTCATTTCTCTGCCAGGCGCCGACTGTTTCGCCCGCGAAATTGTAAAACATCTGTTGTTTCTGTGCTAATTCAATATTTTAAAACCCTCAGGAGCAGTTCAGATTTTTGATGTTTCAGATTTTTGACTTTTGGATTTTTGACTCTCTACTGTATTGTAAGATGATTCTTAGTAATAAAGTAAAAAAGACGAATTTACTTTTTATAATTTTTGAAGCCATCCAGACTACCATAAGTGACAAAGTCAAAACATCGCTTATTCTAAGAACGATTTTCTTCATACCGGCAGTATCTTTCCCCATGCGGCCGGCTCGCCCCACCATCTGTCGATAGCTGCGTACGTCACAGCCCATGTTGCGCGGAGGACATCGTATCAAAACTCTCCGCGCAGGCAGGTTCACTCCGGAGGACAAAGTAGATGTGGCCACCAACACTCTCAGCACACAACTGCGGAACGCTCCTTCTACAATGTCCCGCTCATCCATCGTCAGACCTTGAAATTGAAACAAAGCGTTTGGTGTGTTATCTTGAGAAAATGTATATTCAAAACACACAGGTTGATAGATTTTTTTCTTGTCAGGGTAGAATTTGGGGAAATTGGGGCTAAACACAGAGAAGTAAGGTACAGAGAATAGACACTTATTGGACAACCATGCAGCTCTGGTATGTTGTGCTGGAAATATACTTCTGATGAGCAAGAAAGAGTCAGAACAGCGAGCACTATGCAGAAATTCATACCACATAGGGCACAGGGTCTTCCTGCATCGTGAGCATTGTAGTACATGATGGCGAGGGAGTGGTGTTGGACTTTGTCCTAAACATCATTTAAGTGTACCACGAGGTGTATCCTCTGTTTCTTACTTCTCAGTGCTCCTACTCAGATTCTCCGTCCAAGGCTCTTAATTTTACCTGCGTGGTGGAAGGCTACACCAAATGCCACACTTCGTCCTAGGGACGTGTCAAGACCCGCGGGACATCGCTTGAGTTGCTCCAAAACATCACTGATGGCCGCTCCGTCCAGCTGTTCTCTCACTGCTCGGCCCATCTCACTCTTCTCGTAACCTGAAATGTTACCATCATAGTCAAGATTTAAAATGGGTTAAGACCGCTTTCCCTAAAAGTGCTTAATACTTTCTCCTCTAATTCCTCCAATGAAAATTTAGTAAAAATGCATAGACAGCAAGAAATAAATTGTATGATGAAGATAAAACAACCCCAAACAATAGTTCCAATCAATTTTTCACCCTCTACGTGATTTGAGTTTTATAACCAGACTGCAATTTAAAAAATTGTAAGACAGGAGGAATCTCTTTAATAGTTTCTGAAATCAAGGAATCCTTCAAGCCTTTGATAAATCCCCTTTTGAACACATAAAGCATTACAGGAGAACCCCTCATATCCGGCCTTGGTTTTACCGGTCCTCTGTTTATCCGGCCCCTTCCAGGAAGCCAATACCAAAATCTTTTTCTCACAGCTTACAGACGTTTAGATGCAAGCACTAGTCTTTGTGGCTGATGAAGTCATAAACTAAATTGTTCTCATTATTTATCTGTTTGTTTATATATTTTTTTGCTGAGTCACTATACTCAGTTGAGCTAGGAGGCCTAACCTCTTATCAGTTGGTTGATTATTTCCAAAGTGGGGTTAGTACAGTACAGTACAAGTACATTAATTTTTGTATTTCACAAAATGGTTAAGAATGTTGAGTAAAAATGCATGTACCATTTAAGTCCTAATGATCTTTAAGTATAGTACAATTTATTGTCATTTTTACCTCCATTTAATAGGTTTTGTTACCTGGAATCGTAATATTTGTACATTCATTACTTAATGACTTTAACCTACAAATATTTTTTTTTCTTTTTACAAACATGTTTATTTTTCTAAAAATTATCCCAGAACAGAATTGATACCTACTTTTGATTCTTTTGAATGCATATATTGATTACCTATTATTATTAGATATGAATTGTCATTTTCATTGAAGGTTGGTTTATCCGGCCAAATCGTTATCCGGTCAGGGACTTGGTCCCGTGGTGGCCGGATATGAGGGGTTCTACTGTACTTTTTGAAAACGTTACGTATCAAGTGGCAATGACATACTTTGCACCTCAATACACAAATAGCAATTTTTTAACATTTTGGGATTGTAATAGAAAATTACTTTTCACCAAGAACGAACTATAAACAAAGAGTAGGGAATTAAGTTTGAAGACTGACCTATTCTGCGAAACTCCGCTGCTATCTGCTGAGCAGAGGTCTCACACCAGCTTCGGGTGGGACAGAAGACAACTACAGAATGTCCGGACAACAATGACTCCAGACACAGATGAATAACATCACCAGGGTCAGACTGTGAAAATCAAAATACATGTGTTTTTTTTTCATAGGATGCTTAGGAAGCCTCTGAAAGAGGGGAAATATCAAGTCTATTTAATTTATTTGTTCCGTGACTCGTCTACAACCTTTCATCAGGTGAGTTAGCTGTGTCCTCTCCATCCTATATCTTGTTTAATATCTATTATCTACATTTGGTAATCCACACATTTGACTTAAGAGTCAACTTCTGCTGTTTTGAGTTCTACAAAACCAGCTTATATTATACTTATTTTCTTATTATTTAACTGTCAACTTTTTCATTTCAAGGCAAACATTATCATTACTCAGCTACCTAGCTTCACGCAAAAAACACTGTGAAGGTAAAGTTTAAAAGCATGATGTGAGCAACAAGCTTATCTTTTATTTTAAAAGTACTACATTTTAAAGAGTCTAATCTACTTTTTGTCAACAATGCCAGAAGATAATGTTTACAAGTATGAAATGAAATGAAAAAATATCTTTATTCATATGGTATACAGTCGCATACATTGAATGGCGTCACTAGGCTTAAAACTAAATCAAACTAACCTACAATTCATTGAAACCATACATAAAGTGTTTTATCAGTTAAGAAATGTTTAAGTTTTTTTTTTATTTGGAAATATTATCAATAATTTTAGAATATGAATAGAAGTATGTTGTCCTAAAAGATGTCAGTGAAGTCAATCTTTGTGGAACATGAACATCCACATCCACTAAGAAAGTAAATCCAAAAAACCATTTTTAGTCCATGTTGCTACTTATCCCATATAAATTTTGACTAAAATCATCCAACACAAACACTTGCAATACTGCAAGTTAACACTAGGAGCTTAAAAAAGCACAAAGCATTTTGAGTACCTTAAATTTCGCAATTGGCTGTATGTTGTACTTGAGCTCCATCGTAGCTGCGTCGTACACACTAGAGTTGATCTTGAGATACTCGGTGAGGGGGATGGGCCGGAACTGCGTTATGTAGAGCGCTGCGTCCAGCCAAGTGGCCAAATCAGCCACGTTCGGCAGAGTCGCTGACATCCCCACCACCTGGATATTCAGCGTCTTGTCTCTATGGAAGGTTTAATTCTTTGAGCTTAAAAGGGCTGACACATCTGACACAAGAGTATTATGAATAAAAATCTAGTATCTACGTGAGGATAACTCAACAGTAACAGCTAAAAGCTATGACCTGACAAGTACTACAACTTGGGAGTAGAGTTTGGATCCAATACATTTGGGCTTTAGGTTGACCAGTGTTGTTACAGCGGACGACCATTAGACCTGACCAATGGCCGAGCAATCTAAGACATTGAGCGGTCTCGGAACATGTAACAGTGCACTGTCGACTTATTCACCAGTACAGCCCTGGGGCAAGAGTCTTGTGCTTCTAGAACGGTTAGTCACGGGTTTACGGTGCACATTGGATCGGAATGAGTGAATAGAAACGACGCTACTAAATCAAAAAGTCCTGTCGTAGGGAATTCACCCTACTACTTTATAATTATGAAATCGAACAAACTTATCTTTACAGAATAAACTACCTATGCATTTCTTGTGTTTAATTTACTACTTAATATAATCCATCAAATTGATAAATAACATAAATTTTATTCGAAAGATCCGCCATCTTGCCGTAGCTGAAGACTGACTAGGCTCTTGATAATACGGTGAACTTGTGTGTGTCCACCAAAGTTTTGTTTAAAAAGTTTTGAATTAGGTATATATAATTTTTTTACTCTGTTCATTTTTAATAAGTAGCTATTTTACTCTATTTTATTCTGTAATTTATACCCTGTTCATAGTATATCGTTTTTGATTCAATGTTTGATTTTATAATGAGATAGAGATTTGATGATGTTTAAATTAAATAGGTAGGCTACCAATAACTATTTGTTATAGGCCTATAGTGTTTTAGAGTAATTATTATAGAATATACAACTATTAGTTTCCCTTTTTAGTCATCATACTGGAATAATTTGCACACCATATCTCATACTATTTAGTTGTAGAGAAAAGATTTATATTTAGATTCAAAATCTCTCAATGTCAAATGCATCATTATGTTTGCTTAACTACAATTAAAAATCTTGAATATTACAATTAGAGAATGCTTCATAGATTTTTAGGCTATCAGTCCATTTTTTTGCATTATTGAAACGGTTATTTGTAGTTCATGATAAGTCGATCGATAAACATACTTAAGATTGAGAACATATGTAGGAAAGTATTACTGCAAAACTCACTTGCGGCACATGTACTTGATCTTGGTAAGCAGTAGTTCTAGAAGGTAGCCGCGGTGTGGATCTCCTAGAAGATGAAGTTCGTCAACCACCACACAGCCAATAGCATCCAGCCCTTGATCTTCCAGTAGCCTATATCGTACAGCAAAGTAATAAAAAATCATGTTTTATAGTTTGATGTAAATCTAGTTTTTTCAATATTGATATTGTGTTTCACTGAGTGTTATCTGCTTTTTTTGTATACTTTGTTTGTCTGTAGCACCAAAGTGATACAGTGGCATTTAATTGAAGTCAAAGTTAGTTTAGTTTGTTTAAACACTTTTAAGAGAAAGCGGTTCAGACCCATAAAAGCTTTGTGGATGTGCCGGGAATCGAACCCATCCTCCTGCACCCAAGTCAGAGACGCAGGGCTGTACCCAGCTTTGACAGGCCCCAGTAAGGCCCTCTGAGCAGGGCCCCGGTAAAGATATTTGGCCGGGCCTCCCTCCCCTTGAAGAATATGTTTGGCGGGGCACCGGTAAAAATGTCCAGAAAAACTGGTCTGAGTAGCTTTACATCTCATGCTCTTTGAAGGGAGATCTCATTTTACACTTAGGCCTAATACATTAATTTAACCTAATGATGATGTTTATTTATAATCATATATAGTTTTCCCACTTGAATCTAGACCTTAATGTTTCCTTTGCACACATAATTGGAATATTTTAACATATACCGCAAGCTAAACCAACATCACCTGTTGATAAGGCTATTAGCTTTCTCGATGGTGCAGACAGCAATATGTACCGTCCGCAGACCTCCAGGAGGAGAATGGCTACCCATGAAGCCTTCCACTCGCACACCACTGCTCCCGAGCAGATTCTATGCAAGTGAAACAATCAACTTAATTTAGTGTAATAGTAAAAAATAACTTTGCAAAAACAAAAATAAAACATTTTACCAAAAAAGTACATTAAATATGGGTGTATATATGTTTTTTCATGGCATCTGCTCCATGTCAATCATCATTATTATTTATCAGTAGAAAAGCTGATCAAACTTTGGAATTTTAAGAAATAAAACTAGTTGAAATAATCAGAGATTTTTCAAGAATTTGGAGAACGGAAAGCTATTGGGAATAGTGAAACCCTTCTTTATTCGCCATCAACACAACTCCTGCTTCCCAATTAGTATTTGACCATGAAACAACAAAACCAATTTAAAAATACACAGCATCAATATTTTGTTGAACAATTGTATTGTTAAAATAGTTCTCACTAGAGAAAAAGATCCCAAGACACTGCTGTACTATGGTGACCTTCAAATATTTTTACAACTTACAAAGTAACACAATTTTCAAGGTAAATCGATTTTAGGTAGGCCTAAATCGTTTATTAACAAATAAAATATAGCTATGACTTAAAATAGAAAAAATGTCCATAATTTCAGTATAGTTCCCTAAAATTTGTAACGTCACTGAAAATTGTAGCTTTAATTGAATATACCAACAAACATATCACTTACTTGAAAGTACAACATTTTTTCCCTCACGACAGATATAAATGGAAGTATGAAAATGACTTTTTTCTTTCTTTCTAACACCGTCTGAATGGTTATAATCTCTGCAACCATTGTCTTTCCTGAAAAAAATAAAAATAACCAATCTTTATCACCAGCCACCCCATGAAAATTTAATGATAACTTTTATTTTTACAACATCAAAGAAAGTAGGCCTATTTTCTTTTTAACCACTGATAGCAGTGTTTTGCATAACTTAGTCTGCTGGATTTGTCAATGATTAAGAAATTATTGTCATTATTAGTTATAAGCATTGACTAAATATATAACAAACAGTAGACTCATTAATTTCTCCGTACATGCGCAGACTCGTGTGGAAAGGGGCTCTGCATTTAATCTAAACTGGCTATCAAAAGGTGGCCACTCACAAAACAGCTTGCTGAAAAACAACTATTTACAACATACATACAACAATAAAAAGATCAAGAACATTTAATGAATAAAAAAATTAAAGGCCAATTTAGATTAATGTAGAATTAGTTTTTTTCACTTCGTAATGGGAGGAGTTGATCCACCTCCAGAAACTTTGTGTGGTTTTAAACACAAGTCACGTTGAAAAGTCCAGTTTAATAATAGTAACATAAATAACCACCACACAGGGGAGGTAGCGAGGGAATTTTGGAAATATTTATCCCTCCAGTTTCCTACTGCTCTCAGTTCATTATTTTGTAACAAAGTCTTTGAATCTTTTCGGTGGTTTAGTAGTTTGGTTTGAACGTTGCAACACTTTGTTAGTATTCAACTCTTGTGATAGGGCTTCATCTTCTTGTGGGTCAGAAACGTTTACATATTGTTGTCGAAGAAGTTTTTTGAGGTCATGGAACATCGAAAATCTGAGGTACTGGTCAATAAGAGACTGATTTCTCCATTTACTTGTTAACTAAATGTCAAATGTAGTTAGGCTAGTAGAAGTGGTTCTTCAACCGTCCAAGAGGATTAAATAGTGACAAATGAAAAATAATTATCATTCCTGCCGGAGGACGAAGAATGAAACATGGCGTAGTATTAGCGAAATAGTGAGGGAGCTGTGTCAGAGTTTAAGCGTTGGCGACGGAGGAGGTTGTGCGCAACTAGATGGTGGCGAGTTTGGAGAGCCAAAGACGTGATAAGGCGCCTAAGAGTGTGACGTGAGTGTCCAGTTCGGCCAAGGAGCTTTAAATAGCTTTTTTGTCAGGCCTATAATGTATTGTAGGCCTAAATGCTTACAAAAGAATCACATTTGGTGGGATCTGTTAGGTTACAATTTACGTTTATTACAAAGGTGGTGTTTTTTAATGTGATGTTACAATACCAACCTTAAAAATAACTCACCTGCTGATGTTGGAGCTGAGTAAACAAGGTTTTTTCCCGACAACACTCCTTCACATAGGAGGCATTCTACTTGCCATGGGAACATTTTTTCTATCCCTTTCTTTGAGTATTTCTGTTAACAAAAAATATTCTTAGCTTTATACTAAAATATTTAACTAAGTCTCTTATGCAGAATAGAACCTAGTACTCCAACTAAATATATGTCGGCTAACTTATATTTACATGTTTTGATGCATATAACTGGTAGGCCTACCTATAACTTAAGAATTGAGACTAATCATAAAGCGATTTAAAATTTCTTTTACCTCAATAATTGTAGTCGGTAGACCCCATGATATTAGGCATTGTTTTTCTTGTGTCAAAAGAGACCTATCACAAGTCTTGTCTTCCATCTCTTTCAGCTTTAAAACCCCTCTTTTGAATCGAAGTCCAAGTCTCTAGGCCTAAGTAGAGAATTGTAATTTAATGAACATCAAGTTCCGGTGTCCTGTAGAGTAAAACTAATGCAACACATCCTTGTGAATTCACAATCACAATTTTATAAGTTAGTATTCTCATAAATAGGCTAATGAAAAGAATTTAAGAAATTTCATAATTGAATCATTAATACAAACAACCTAACAAGTCTTATTTAGAGCACAATAACGGGTACCGGCGCCAATCTAAATTTCTAACCAAAATAATTGTGTAGTGTATTTTAATACAGATTATATGCACAGAAACACATCTTTTCGTGTTCCTAAACAGGAACACATAATTAAATTATACAATCAAGTTTAACTTAGCTTCCACAAACGTTTTAAAAAGTAAACACGAAACACGGCGGGAGTGACATACTACGACGGCGCTGAAGGGCCACCAACTGAATAAAAAAATATTTTTATTCATCTCTGAGAAAAAACTTAGAATTCTGAGATTAAAGTCAGAGCGCGGGAAGTAGGCTTCCTCTCTGAGAAAAAAGTCAGAATTCTGAGTTTAAAGTCAGAATTATAACTAGAACTAGTGGGCGTTCCCCTCTGAGATTTAAGTCAAATTTTAACTCTTTGCTGGCTTGATCTCTCTCTACCCTTTAGCTTTTTATCTTACCATAAGCATCTAAATGTCAAAGATCGTTTGGACCTTTGTTCTTGTATATTCGTCGACGTAAACGTTTGCGGTAACGGTTGCGTTGCGTAAACGTGATTCTAAAATAATCACCAATAATGGCTTCTCTTTCATTAGTGTCCATTTCGGTGCTCAATTCGCGTCGTTAGGCAGTACAAGAACGTTCAATTCAAAGGAACGCCCACAAGTTCAATTCTGACTTTAATCTCAGAATTCTAACTTTTTTCACAGAGAGGAACGCCCACTTGTTAAATTCTGACTTTAATCTCAGAGGGGATTAACGCTAGTGGGGGAACGCCCACTAGTTAAATTCTGACTTTTAACTCAGAAATCTGACTTTTTTCTCAGAGAGGAAGCTTAATTCCCGCACTCTGACTTTAATCTCAGAATTCTAACTTTTTTTCTCAGAAATGAAGACAATTTTTTTTTATAGTTGGTGGCCCTTCAGCGCCGTCGTAGACATACATTTGGTTTTGGTTATTTTGGTTTAAAAGTTTCAGAGTGGTCTGCTAAAAAAAGATCAGCCAGCTTCAGCTGTTTTGCTGTCGTAGGTATGGCACTGCATCATGAAGCTTTGTATTTAGTTTATTTATTATACACTATTAAAAAAGTCACATTCAAATATTGTAGTTTATTTTACGAATAATATTCGGTACTGGATAATGAGGTTTTTTATTTAGTCTATTTATTGAGTTTTTTTTTTTTTTTTTTTTTTAACAGCTGAAGCTGGCTGATCTTTTTTTAGCAGACCACTCTGAAACTTTTAAACCAAAATAACTAAATTTATTGAGTATACATTATTTAAACAAGTCAAATGCAAATACAGTATTGTGAGATATGAGATATAAGTAGGGGGGGACGCGCCAAGGTCCGCGGCCAACAAGGTCTACGACCACCAACCTGACCTACGATTGGTGGTGCGAAATGTCCGAGCTGAACCAGTTCCGTGACGGGTGAAGGGGATGTAGTCGTGTTTGCTGCCGGTAGACCTTGTTGCCAGTGGCCAACGCATCTGTTAGGCTGGTGCGGTCAGGACAAAGTCTCCTTTACATAACTAATATGCATTTGTTTATTGATACTATCATTATTATAGTATTTAAATGGGATAAGAGTAAGACTAATACAAAAGTAACCCGTGATATATATTTGTATAGTATTTTTGCTACTAAGATAAATAAATCTGGTTTCTGCTTATTTTCTTAGAATAAAAAAATCCTTTTGTATTTTTTGAAGTTAATTACCCTTTTCGAAACCCTCCTATAGTAGGTGAATAATTTACTTTAAACTTTGTAATGTTAAATAAATATTTTAAAATCAGAACGATAATTAAACTTTTGGCCAGAAGATATCATAATAAGTTTTATTTTAAAAAAGGCAACTTAAATTTTTGGGGAATGCTATTATTGTATTAATTGTAATAATAGATGAGTGAACGAAGTGAACGAATCTTCTTACTACACTTATATTAACAATTGAGTTATTTGATTTTACAAGGAAATCAATGTAAAAATAAAGCTTGTTATACATAGCCGGCACTTATTGTATATGTATGGCTGAGTACCATACGAAACAACGCCTGCAAAAACTAGTATACCTTTTGCAAACTCCGCCGTATTGTGGGATGACAGGAACGCCTTTTCCATTCATTTAATCAATGGATTGTTAATCTTTGTTGCTTTTAATAATATTTTATTTATGCGCTGCTATGTTGTAGTTTTGTAAAATTTTTCAAAATGACATCATATTTTCAATTATTGTATAGTACTAGAGAACCCGTGAGGCTCAATGAGCCGCATAGTATGAAACATAATGCCAAGAAAAACATTAAGCTTAAATTCGAATAGTTTTGGTACATCTTAGAGTTGTTTGAAAACTTATTAGAAACTAATTATATATATCTCTATTTGCGTCGTCAAGGCTCACTTACATTACCGGTATTTCTGCTCTCAGTTTTAACTGATGACTTCTAATGAATGCTAAACGATCTGCTTCAATTCGAGGTAACATGCTGCAACAAAGTGTTTCCAGAATCGAGAACTTAAGAAAACCTTATATGCCTTACTGATAACCTGTGTTAAGTAATTTAAGTCGAGTCATTTTATTTCTTTGATTTGAGACATACACCAACCTACTCAAACGAATTTCCCCCGTAGAGAATCCTGAAAAATGGGGTGATATCAACCATTTCATGTGCTACATAATTTAACACAGAATACAGTACCGTACCTAATACAAAAAATCACACTTATTTTAATAAGGAAATAAATTGAAAGAATAACAAACAAATAAGTACAGCTAAGGTATTTTTAACATTAGGTATATGGAAAGTTCGCTTTAGAAATGAATTACGACCTTAAAGGGCAATTTACGAAATAATGGATAGTTTGGATGGTAATGGAAGTTTGACAGTTTAACAGTTTGCTACAAACACTTGGTTGAAATGAAACATTTACTAGTGTACATGTTGCTCGAAATCGAGCAATTGCGAAGAAGTAAAGTACGGTAGTTGTTTAAAAACAAATAACTTATTTAAAACCTAATGAAAGTGATAATTTCCGATGAGTTTAAAAGACTCATCATAGATCACGTACCTAACAGTTCCATATAATCAACATTTCTTGTAAATATTTTATCATTTTTCAAAAAGCTGATCTAGTTTTTTAGTGTATTCTACAAATATTTCCCACTTATAGCCGCATTAGGTTGTCCATGTTGATCTTCGTCAATGATAATGTAGTCTGCATATGGTACTACCCATTGTTGCCAGTACGTTTACAAATTTCTGTAATTTTTTTACAACGATAACATTTTGTTTACATTACTTAAGAACTGCCTGATTTTCTGCATAGCCTCTCTATCACAATTGTATTTGCTTCAATTGGCAATAATTTGGCTAGTTACTGTTATAACGTATGTTATATAATTGAGTACGTATATTCAATTATATACGTGTATACTCAATGCATAAATTTACCTGAAAAAATGCAGAATTGAAAGGCCTAATATTGTTCAGATGGTTTTTTGTTTCCCTTAAATGTGAATAATGCAAATCCTTCAATGAAAGTTTTATTAAAGTTTTTTGGATGTAGTCATATTATTTTAAAATCTCTTGACTTTTAATAAAACATACAGGGTGATTGAAAAGTCTGGGTACGGCTTAATATTTTAAAATATAATGCAGATTGAGCTACATTACTTAATACAAAGTAACAGGGCATAAAACTCTATTTTAACACATATTCAGTGATCCAATAACTCTTCAGGGGGACGGCCCACAAAGGAGTCGGAAGAAAATCTTAAATGGAAGCATAGGTCAATATGCACATCAAATTAAAGGTCGTTTTTAGTAGAATACAATGCCGCAAACCGCACTTCAAAAGGTTGATCCTGCGCAAAATGACAGTTGTTCAAAGATTAATTTAATTTACATTGCTATTATACGCTTACTCCTCAGGGGGCACAGCCCTAGGAATCGGAAGAAAATTGTTAACGTAGGCATAGGTCGATATGCACATCAAATTAAAGGTCTTCACTAGTAGATTACGATGCCGTAAATTCAAGTTCAAAAGAATACCTGAGTAAAAAATGACAGTCGTTCAAAGATTCAAAATGGCGGATTCAAGAAATCTTTGAACATCTGCCATTTTGCGCAGGATCAACCTTTTGAAGTACGGTTTGCGGCATTGTATTCTACTAAAAAAGACCTTTAATTTGATGTGCATATTGACCATTTAAGATTTTCTTCCGACTCCTTTGTGGGCCGTCCCCCTGAAGAGTTATTGGAACACTGAATATGTGTTAAAATACAGTTTTATGCCCTGTAACTTTGTACCAAGTATTGTAGCTCAATCTGCATTATATTTTAAAATATTAAGCCATACCCAGACTTTTCAATCACTCTGTATATTTAAAGTCCTTGCCGTACAGTTTAATTCAGCCTTAGAGTGTTTTCCTTTGCCAATAATCATAAAGTTAAATCCGTGTTTCCTACAAAATAGTAACACTTCGACTAACATCCTTGTTCATTTTTTGTGGGAATATTCATACTGTAGGTGTTCTTCATTATATAGGAGGTAAAATATATCAAATTGCCAAGGCTTTCTCGATTATTTAAATTGTAAATTAAAGTAGTACATTTATTTCATTTCTATTCAACCAAAATCAGTAAATGAACCCAATGCGTTTCGTTGAATTGAAAGATAAATAACAGCAATTAAATTATAAAGCTGATCAAAATGTAAACAATTATGTTCTTCATAAGGAAAACATGGGAACCTTTAAAGCCACTGGGGCAGAGCTTAAGGGACTTTTTCATAAATGTAAGGCCAGTTCGCAAATCTACTCTACACGCTCTTTCCAATGAGACGTCAATGG